ATAATCATTGCAAAGCGGATGCGTGGATCTAAGTCCTGGATGCTCCCCAATATCAAATCACAGCAGGGACCCAGCTAATACCCTTGTTCCCTCTCCTGAAAATGTGAAGACCCACTGAGAAATCCTTGATGAGGGAGGCTCAGACAGCACTCCCGACCTCTCAGGACAAGAGGCAGCCAAAGCTTTGGTCCCCAAAGGCACCTGCACTGGCAATGCTGCCAGGGCTGTGCTCACCCATGGAGCCACATCCTGAGCATGGTCAGAGATCCTCCTGGCTCCATCTCTACAGCTGTTGGAAGTGGCCTCTGCACAAAGGGCAGTGTTCTCATTAAATCCCGTGGAGGGTTGCCATGTGGCCACCAGAAATTTTGTTTTGTTTTATTTTGGGAAGCAGCACAGTAATATATTCACCACCTCCGAACGTAATGGGGTGACAGATGGGAGCTGGGCCCTGGCTTTCATGGGAAAGGCTCCACTCAGCAGGGAAGCAGTAAGTTTCCCACCTAGTCTTCTGCAACCTTCAGACTCCTAACAACTGTAAGAAGCAAAGCAATGGGTAGTTATTAAATGAATGACTTCATCTGCAAGATGGTAATAAATATTTTATAGTTTTATCTCTCCACCCTGTAGAATGCTCCAGACAGACCAGACTGTTTATTAATCTAGCTTCTGGATTTATGTTCTTTAATTGCTAAACAGCCTCAGCATGGTTAGGCTGGATTATTAAATGTTGGAGCCTGAGTGGGAGTCCTCTAACAAATGGTAAAACCAGAGGAGCTTGATTTTGGACTTGGCTTATCAAAACCAACTTTCCTGCAGTGCTAAGGCCAGGTTAGCCCCTGTTTGAGTAGAAACCATTCCACTATTGCCTCATGCTCAGTGTAGGTGGACTTTGAGACTTGTTGTGAGTAAGGAAGAGGTAAGGAAAAGTTCTGGCACATCCTGGTTTCAATAAGGATGTGCTGGTGTTAACCTGCAGTGGGCAGGATGCTGCGAGGGCGTCTTAGCATGGACAGGTCCTTCTGGGGAAGCTCAGGCAGAGTGTGTGTCCTTGTTCTACCCCTTTGTGTCTTTTTGGGCCATCACAGATAGTCCCTGTCATTTAAACAAAAGAGCACTGCAGTCATAGATATGAAAGCAGGCTTTAGAGGTTCACATACTTCCTTGTTGACAGGGTCAAGAATGTCTTCAAAACAGATACTACCATTTCTACAATAGTTGCTGATTTATTCATCCCACTGAGGGATGGGGATGAAAGCAGCTGGAATGACAAGAGCTATTTGTCTGAAGAATGCATCATCCTCATGCTTTTTCAAAGCCTCAATCCCACAAGCCCTTCTGTACAAAGTAGGAGGTCGTTTCAGGATATATCTTCTCACAAAGCGTAGGAGAAGTGAGTGTGCTAACAAGCGCAGACCAGAGCCTTTGAATCCAACCAAGCTGTGCTGGAGCAATTTCCTGCTCAGGGCTGCCCTATTGGCTGCAGTGTCATCTCCAGCCCATCCCACTGCTCCCCAGACTCACAATGTCTTTCTGAGGTCCAGAAGGGATGAATTTGATGCTAAATGGCATCTCTGAAGGGCAGAGTTGGTTTCTCTCCCCAAGTAGCCTGATGGGAATGAGGCAACCCCTTCCTGACCACCCAATTGTGTGTTCTTAAGGACCCCTTGGTTGTGGGAGCAGGATTCGAGCCTTCACTCAGAGAAGCTGTAGGGCAAGGGGAACAAAAATCAGAAAAATGCACGAGGCTGGGAAAGACCCCCCCTTTCTGCTTACAGCTGAAAGCCGTGGCTGGAATGCCTCTCTGGGAGAGATCCGGTCAATGCTGACAAGTGGAAGGTACCACTGGAGGAATAGGTCATTAGCAGCTTTTAACAATTAACAGCAGCATGAGTGAGGCCAAATGACTCTCATTGGTCGATGGTTTATCGATGTGTTTAGACACAACCATATGCTGACGAGTATCTTTTCCCTGGCATCCTTGAAGCCGAAGGCCCACTCTGCTCTGACATTCCTCTCTCACCCTACGCCCTGTTGGAGGAGGCTTAAAAGCTCTCCTAAGCACACCTATAAACTGACAGTGTACCATCTTAAACCAATTCAATTCCCTTCCCTGTGATAAAGGACGCCAGTTCCGGGAAGATAACATCTCCCAGTGATGGCTCCCTGAGCTGCAATTTAGCACAAATCTGAGCGCTCTATTATCCAGCTCAGCCAATTCGTTAAGGAAGGACAGGCAAGCACGTCTATTAGCTCGATCATCATAATCAAATATTGGCACAAGGAACTGCTCAGCGCTGCAAAGTCGAGCGAAACCCCCATAAAACAATTATGTGCCCTTCAGGAAAACAGCGTGCCAGCCGCTGAGGTGAGCATGAGTCCAATTGCTTTTCCTCCTGTGAGAAGAGGACAAAATCTCATCAACTCCAAGTTAAGTCCAGCAAAGCCTCAAAGGGACTTTGTTCTTGGGGCTCCTGGGCAAGCTGGGCTCCATCTCCAGCAGTCCTCGTTGCTGAGGGTGTTTAATCTCAGGGACCACTGGCTAAGGGATCCTAAGCCTGTCCTAAGCTTCTGCTGGTTGTTCTGCATCAGAACACCTTGCAGACAGTAAATGAAGGCAGAAAAATCTTCCAGTGAACACCCATGGCCATGCATATGCTCAAGGAAAGGCTTTAGGAAATCTTCCTTCTACCCAAACTTTTCTCCACATTTTTTTTCTATAGTTCTTGCCTTTTCAGCTGGATTTTACTCTAACCCTTCACTTTCATGCATGTGGTAGGGCCACCGCCTTCTGCTGTAACCCAACAGTGCTTGTGCTTCTGTGCAGAGACAGACAGAGAAATTCAGTTCAGTTAATCAGACAATTTAATTTCTTGGTGATGAACCTGCCTGAAATTCCCGTTTGATCCAATTCACGCAGCTCCAAATGGCCTTAACACGATTTGCATTATTTCACCTCTGCTACAGCAGAGCAAAACTGAATTTTGGCAACTTTAGAAATTATCCAACAAAGAGATCCGTGAAAAATTCTCTTCATTGCCACAGCTTCAAAACATAATCTCTTACCAGGGAAAAGGCTCTGTTCTTCCAAGAGGGCAATCTGTGAACATCACAGTTGAGTTGATGCAACTGAGCAAATCTTGTTGACAAAAATCAGTTTTTGAAGTTTTTTTTTGAAATCCAGGAAGGAAAAGTGTCCATCTCTGTGTTGCATCCCGGGGCTGGCATCTCCTGTACTGCTTCCAATGGCATCTCCTCTGCTCACACACCACCTGTGGAAGCACAAAACCACAAGATCATGGAATCCTAGAATGGTTTGGGTTGGAAGGAACTCTAAGGATCATCTCATTCCAAAGCCCTGCCATGGGCAGGGGCATCTTCCACAGATCAGGCTGCTCCAAGCCATATCCAACCTGGCCTTGGACACTTCCAGGGATGGGACAACCACAGCTTCTCTGGGCACCCTGTGCCAGGGCCTCAGCATCCTCACAGGGTGAGGAATTCCTTCCCAATATCCCATCTAACCCTGCCCTCTGGCAGTGTGAATCCAATCCCCCTTATCTTGTCCCTCCACACCCTTGCCCCAAGACCCTCTCTATCTCTCTTGGGCATCCTTCAGACACTGGAAGAGGCTCTTCTCTTCTCCAGGCTGAACACCCCCAGGTCTCTCAGCCTGTCTCCACAGCAGAGGTGCTCCTGCACTCCTGGGGGTGCAGGGGGCAAGCCCTGCCCAGAGGAATTCTGCCTCCAGCCTTCCTGGGACTTACAATTCCCATCACAGCACTAGCAGGATTTAAGCACCTGCTTGGTTGGATGGTGGCAGCTCCTTCTTCTCCAAAGCCTTCAGATATACCAAACCTAAATTCCCCTGAAATCTCCCAGCTTAGGAGGTGGGAAAAGCCAGGTGGGAGGTGCACAGTCCTGGCTAGAGCTGCAGGGGAGCAGGGACACATTGACCACCCCCAAACCACGGTGCAGGACAAGGACAAAGCCCAGTAGGGACACAGCTTGAAGAAAGACCATAGGAACTAAAGTCACAAACAGAACTGGGTTTTATTATGAAATAACCCTGCCAGTACATAAGGAAGTTCTGTCTGCAAAATACATTTCCTGAGGAAAGTAGATCACAGTATTCGTTTTCACAGAATAACATGTAGCCTGCTATAACTTTCAATGTGACTCTTTATTATTTAAATATTAACAGTATTCCTTCACATAAACAAGTACTCAGTCATCACATAACCAACACACAAACAACAAAATAAATATACAACAAGAGCACAGTTCATTTTTTTTCCCGACTTAAATATTAAATAAATAATAAATACAGAATTTTCATTTCCTGTTATCAGTGCCTGAAACAATATGAATGAAAAAAAAAAGAAAAACTGAAAAAGTCTCTCTTGCCCCCAGTGCCCCTGCCCCCACAAAAAAAAAACAAACCAAAAAATTATCAAAATGTCTCAGTTATAAAATATCTTTTAAAAAATTCCCATCATTAAAAGAATAAATAACAAAATATATAAAAAATAACTTGGTTGCATCAAAATTACAAGTAGGAGTTGTAGATAGGGTTTTTTTCTTTTTTTTTTCTTTTTTTGGAATATCATTTTTACGGTCAAAAGTTTTAATTTTTAACTTTTTTTTTGCTTCTTTTATCTTCATTTCTATGGTGCAGTGTCCAGTTTAAAATAAGTACAAAATTAATAAATAAAAAAGTTAAATAAATAGCAAAAAGTTAACATAAGGTGTTGTAAATATAAATTACATACATCTTGCCAAAATTAAATAATTTACAGCATAATTAAACTAACTACTTTTTTTTCTTCTCTTTCTTCCAGTAAGTGCAATTTCTCTACCTTTAAATACTAACTGAATTGCAGTCACAATCAATTTGGACTCTATTTACATCTTAAGAACGTTGTGTTTTTAACACCTCAAATTTCATACTTTTTTCCCTTTTTTTTTTTCTTTTTTTTTTTTATATTTTTGCACTTGGAATGGGTTCTAAAATAAGTGAACTCATGGAGTCTGATCCTGCAAACACTTAAGTATGGGAGCAAGCCTACCCAGGCCAACTGCCCTATGGAACTCAACACAGGGAACAATTCCAACCAAGCCACTCATGGGCTTCCAGGCCACATCCAGTGGCCATGGTAGCCACTGAGACTTTCCACTGACTTCCCCAAATCGGGAATTATACCCTAAATATCTGCAGGATTTGGCTCGAAACAACACCACACTCTTGCCTTTTGTTGGGGTCAAGAAGATCCTCCCCAGCTCCGCCTGTCCCATGGCTGGGAGTGATGCAGGATATGGGATGTGGGATATGGGATGCCCCAGGCTGGGGCCCCTCAGGGGGTTCTGCCCCACTGAAGTGTTTGGAGAAGGAAGTGAGCTCCACGTGGGAGCAAAGGTGGGGAGCAGCCCCGTGGGGTGACAGCTGGCCCTGGCCATGGAGCAGTGCTGCAGAGCAGTGCCCCAAAGACATTCACAGAGTTGTTCTCTAAGTGCACAGAGGGCTGCGTGTACCCAGCTGCTTACAACTGCTTCTTTGGAAGAATTCCCAATACCTGAATCCTCTTTTACTTTTCCTTTTTTCCCCATTTTTTGTTGCAGAATGGCGCTCTTCCTGTGATTTTGCGCGAATCCTAGAACACCAAACCAAACCATCCTCATTGCCCTGTGGGTATGTGTAAGGAATCAACTCCTGGTTCACAGTACATAAGCACTTTTCTGGCCATCAATTAACATCTCTCTTTTTGTTGGTTTTTGCTTCTTTTGGATTGGATTTGTTTTGTTTTGTTCGTCACAATCTCAACCATTGGCATCAACTGGCATTGATGTATGATCTCTGGACTGGCAGTACTGCGCCACTGTAGGGATGATCACAATAATGAAAAGAACCAGAACTGTCATCAAACAGATTTCCAAAAAATCATATACACCGGACCATGACACATTAAAGAAATTCTTCTGTTTGAAATATCTGGAATTGGCCTATTCATAATAGCTACTCTTATATTTAAGACAGACAAAGGAATACTGTAGTTGCAAACTCCAAAAGCTTCCCTGAGAACCTTTTTTCCATTGCGCTTTCCACTGGAGATCCAGAACTGCTCGTCAGATTTCTTTCAGAAAATAAAAATAAGCTACTTTATAATACTTCAGAGTTCCCATGCCCAGTGGATATCTGAACACTTCAGGGTTGGGAGGCCCAGCACAGGTTCAGATTTACAGGTAGCTTGCAGCTCCAGCACTTGTAGCAACATAGAACATAACTCATGTGTGAGTAGGTGATCTGGACATACGACCATAGACAACATGAGGGTTTAAGCCAGTCATACACTAGTCTTGGATCAGACAAGACCCTGTTCTTATAACATTTTAACCCTTGGATCTATTCTGCAAGAACAAGCAACTCATGGAAGATGCCTGCTCTTCACCTGCTACCAAGCCCCACAGCCAACTGGAGAATTTGACCTTCCATCCTGATCTACCTCGTAGTCAAGGTGGAAAAAAATCCCACTTTTCTCAAGAAGGTCCAAAGTTAAGTAAACGAGAACATTGAGTTTGATCAGTTCCATGTCTCAGAAATGGCGTCTTCATTACATTTTGGTCCTTTTTTTTTTTTTTTTTCATTCATTAAACAAGTTTTCTAACTTGTAAACCTGAATACTTGGAGGGGAAGTTCCATCTTACAGTCTGTTTACTTGCTGCTCTCCATCCCGCGGCACTACACCTGGATGCCCTTGACAGCTTGCTTGATGCTCTCCAGCAGGTCCTTGTTCTCCGGGTTCTGGTAGCACTCCTGGTTGGTGTACATGTCTGTCAGTGTGTTCACATAGGCATCAAAGTTCTGCTCACTAATTGGATCCTGCAGCCAAAAAAAAAAAAAAAAATCAAATAAAAGCATTAGCAATGGAGCAGGACGCGGATGAGAGTCTTTGCAATAAATCACCTGCGTATTTTAGTGCCCAGAGAAGTTGTGGATTCCTAAAAGTGCTCAAGGCCAGGCTTGGAGAAACCTGGTCTAGGGGAAGATGTCCTTACCCATGGCAGAGGGCATGAAAAGTGTGAGTTTTGAAGTCCCTTCTGACGCAAACCGTTTCATGTTTCTCTGTATGTACAGACAGCCAAAGGTCTCCACATCAAAGCGTTTTTGTGTGCAGTGCTGCATCTACAGGAATCTCATCATTGCCCTAATCCCACTGGATCTTAACCAGGTCCTTAATTTTATGTGCTGGCCTTGTGGAGCTATTAACAGCATCAGGTAAAGTGTGTGCAGGCAGCCTGACAGGCTGGAGGCTGAATTAAGGCATGGAAATGAAGGGTTGGAGGACAACGGGACTGCTGAAACATCACGGAGGGAACCAAAGGCAAAGTCAGGTCACCTTGGGCTCACAGCTGCCCAGCCCAGCTCTCTGCTGCAGTACAGCTTCTGCTTTCGAGGGGCATTGCAAGCATCTAACTTGGGCTTAACTGGGGGAAAAAAGAGAGGGAGAAAGAAGAAAAAGAACAGGAATAAAATGAGCATAAAAGTCTCATGGGCATCATTTAATTAGAGTTGCCTGAAACCTTGAAAAAATATTTGCTGAACAGTTTATTTGACCTTTATGTGTCAAATACTTTACAAAAAAGCTCTCAGCAAGTGGTTTCCTGCCAGTTAGGCAGCTGGGTGAATACTATCCAAAACTGCTCTGCTGGAGGATGGCTTCTCTCCAACCAGTCTGAATTTAAATACAAACCCCAATGAAAAGGATTCTCAGAAAGAAAAAAAAAAAAAAGGATGGAAGAAAAAATAAATCAAAAGCTCATTCCTCTGATCATTGCAATGGTCTTTATGAGTTGTAAGAGGACAGCTTCCTCAACAACACGAGCCCCACCTCCACACACCTGGTTTTGACAACAGTAATTACATTCCTGGGAATAGAGAGAAGGTAATTAATAGCCTTTTGTGGTTTTACTATTTTAATGCAGTCTTTTCATTTCTCAGTAACTCTATGGTAACATGCTGTGGGCTGTTAGACCTTGTTAAATTAAACAAAATACACTCACTTTAAGAATGCTATTCTTTAGCTGCCAGCTATTCAAAACTGAATTGAAACTACCTGCATTGTAATAGGAGCTCTAAGATCTTTCTGACGTTGAAATCCAATCCCTCCTGATCTCGGCTTGTGCTGTCTTAGCCTAAAAGGCACTGGGTGCCCTTGATAAAGTTTCCCATTTTGTGATAGTGCTCCCAGATGTAATGAGACAGAACAATAGATAAAAAGGGAGATCAGCAGAAAATGACAACAAAAGGGAGATACAATGCAAGCTTCAGAGATAAGGGAAAAGTACTGATCTTATAAAGGACACATAGGTGTATGGAAAGAAATTCTCCCACTCTTTAATTGTGAAAAAGCCTTATCAGGAATTGGATTTGGCACAGCTCTCTTGATGATGCTGGATTGGGCTGAGCACTCTCAAAGTTTCTTACCATGTGCGGAAGGCGGATGTTGGCAAGACTTTGGATGAGAGCCTGGCTCAACCCTGAGAGCTCCAGGAACAGGGCTTCGTTTTGCTCCTCTATGATTTTGTTTTCCTCCTCAATGTTCTTCAGGTTCTTCTCCATGGTGGAGATCTGTGGAGCAAGGAGCACGGCAGGGTCACCAACCCTCACCAGTGGCACCCACCAACACCCATCACCCCTGGGCTTGAATGCACGGCCAAGGACACAAACCTGGGATTGGAGTTTCACCATGGCTGCTTCCATCTCTGAGTTGGACTCGTTCAGCTCACTGATCTCCTTGTTCAGCTGCTTGATCTCCTCATCATTCTCCAGAACTGCAGGAGGGAAGGTCAGGGGCAGTCAACAAATGCTCTTGGGAAAAGCAAAAGTGTTGGGCCTTCTGCTGAGTCTATCCTGCTGCACCGTCCTTACCTTGTCTTTTACATCCTTGAAACAGGATGTACCTCTCACCTGCCTTTTTCTTTCTATTTTTTTTATAATTAATATTTTTATTATCACAGGTCAATGATACTTGAACAGGTCAATATGTAAATGCAAAAGCAAAGGACAGCAGAGCAGTTGGAGTCCAACACATCCCCACACCCAGCAAGGTTGATTGTCCTGAACAGTCAGGTCACTCTCTCCAATCCTGAGTTTGGAATGATGCCATTTAAAAAACTAATGCATATCTTGATGAGAAATTACGAGGTCCATAAAATAAAGCAATATTTCTAGAGGAGTGCAGGTATTTATAGGTTCCAAACTATCAAGTTCAATGCTTGAACCTTGTCAAATACCACAGAAAGCTCAGTAATAGCACTGGAAATGTAAAGTGCCATCGCTAACAAAATTCCAGATCCAGAAATATCTCAGTATTAAAAGCCCTGAATAGGTGGAAATTATTGAGTGACTGCAAGGGATTTGTAAAAATGCCAGTGAATATATGAAAAAAAAAAATCTGAATTTCAGCATTACTTCTTTTGCCTTCTTTATTGTTGCTCCCTCAAAATGTGTGACTCAATGAGTGAGACTGGTACCATGCCGGCACAGACACCCATAATGCATGAGGAATGGGTCTTCAAAGTACATGATGTCCTTGAAATCTGTGCCCAGATTTCAGCTTAAACCTCCCCAGTCTAAAAAGAAAAAGTTCTATGGGCAAACACCCTGACACACCTGCAAGGCAAAGGAGTGAAAAATCTTACCATCACTGGTCTTGAATTTTGTATTGAGAATTTCATCCCCTGAGAGTTTTCCTTTCTTCCCAGCAAAAGTAGCTCTTGGACACCCTGACAAACTGAAAAACAAGTAAAAATGGGTTTCATAAACTCTCAGTATTTATAGGTGCTTATGTTCCCAACATAAGAACATGTGCCATTTGGTGGAATTCAAGCTGCGAGACAGTTCTCCTAAAAGCTTTTTATGGTACGGAGGAAATTGCTTTATGAATAATGCCACAAAATGCCCCATTTATGAAGCAAGAGCGATTTTCTTTAAGCAAAGATTAAAAACACATTGCTTCCTAAAAGAGGAGGTGTGCTAGGTGAGGAGGGTGGGATGAATCTGGTTGTCTTGGGCACCAAGCTCCTATTTGTGGCGCTCAAATTCTTTTCCAGCATGCAAATAGGGATTTGGATTTGAGGTTAGGAATAAATTCTTCTCTGTGAGGGTGATGAGGCCAGAGCTGCCTAAGATTGCTGTGGAAGATTGCTGGAAGTATCCAGTGCCAGGTTGGACAGGGCTTGGAGCAATCTGGGATAGTGGAAGGTGTCCCTGCCTGTGGCAGGGGGTAGGAATGAGATGATCTTTAAGGTCCCTTCCAACCCAAACCATTCTGTGATTCTCTGACTATTAAAACAACCACACATTTTCTCCATTCAGCAAACTTCAACTGACTCAACTCAGCATCAAAATCGCCAATTCTTGAGCCTGGCATGAGAAGCTGAACGCTGCTCAAGCAGCATCTTGGGGCAGGTACGTTTTTCTCCACAGCAAAACCATCCCCCTCACACTAACATAAACCCCAGGATTTACCTTCTGTGAGTGAGGAAGCTCCCGTTGGCGTGGCCAGAACCGTCACAGCCTGGGGTGGGGCACGTTGGACCTTCATTCTTCAAGGACTTCCAGGAGAAGGAGGAGCCGTTGAGCGATCCCTCCTTCTGCCTGCGGGCGGCCAGGGGGCAGCCGGAGGCGCTCCGGTGGGACGCGTACTTGCCGCTGATGTGTCCCAGCCCGACACAGCCCGGAACGGGACACCTGGGCACGGGACATCACCCAAAGTCACATCAAGGGCAAGGAGCAGAAGGAAGGAATAAAGAAAGTAAGGAAATTATTGATGAGCAGCAATGAGGAAGCCTGGGAAGAGAGTGTTTGTATTTGGGTCTCGTCTGGAGTTTATAGGGGAGATGTTTGGTTGATGGAAACAGCAGATGGGATGTTAAGAGCGACGAGTGCTCCTCCAAAAGAGCCAAAGAGAATCAAGGAGAATTCTACCAGAGGGAAGTCTGTGGAGGTCACATCACGTGCAGCAAAAGTAGGTCCCAGTGGTGTCAGAAACCAGGTGTTTGGTGCCTCACTGGGGACAAAAAGGGCAGGTTGGTCTGCCTGACATGGGATCCTGATGTACCCCAAGGCTGACATCACACTGAGCCATCCCACAGGTACTGCTGGCTCTGCCCTGTCTTACTCCTGATGAACCCAGGCTCATCTCTTATCAGCCTGCCCCAGCACAGTCAACACAGCACAGGAGCCCTGTCTGTGCCCTTGGGCACACAGCCCTCCCCAAGAGCCAGTCCCTGAGCCAGGAGCTGTTCAGGCTGTGCACAAAGAGCTGCAGCCATGTTCCTGCCAGGAGGGCATCCGAGGGGTTACTGAGCCTGCACCCCATCAGACAGGACAAATCACTGAACCACCCCTCACCCTGCAGCCACAGCTTGGCCTCACTTGCCTCCTCCTCCTCCTCCTGGTTCACATCCTGCCTCTCTGGGGAGATCAACCCACGCTCTCAAGGGGATAAAGTGGGAATTATCATCAGGGCGGCACAGGAACCCTGCCCTTACCAGACTTCTCCCTCTTTATGGCCAGTTGAAACACACAGGAACTGTGAGAAGCCTTGTGGAAGCACCAACACAACTTGTGCTACTGCCAAGCACACGAGTGGCTCTCTAAAAGACTCCTCTTTCCTCCCTCCTCACCTAATGGCATTCTCCCTAAATCCTGCCATCCTACAAGCCCAGTGTATCTATCAGGGTTTCTGCTGTGGTTTGCATTTGTTTTAAAAATGCTTGTCAATTATGAATACAGTTAAAAGTTTATTACGCAAGGGAGGTTACTCAAAAGTAGAGGAGGTGGAAGGAGGTAAGAAATGACACAAATAGCCCCCATGTCCTTAGTTTGGAATCAATTAGGGACTTTGAGGCTCTCCAGCAAAAGCATTCGCAGAGCTGCTCCTGAAAATCACAAGCTGCGTTTCACCGCAGAAATTATTGCCCTGATTGTTTACATTCCACACAAAAGGGAGATGACAGCAAAAGGGGGGGCCCTACACCCAGCCTTTTCCCAAGATAATTTGAAAAATGCTGATCTCGATTTTAATCAGCTGCAAATGCAGCACAATTCACTTATAATATCCCTGCCAGCAGGATCCTCAGTAAATTCATAACATCATTGCTTTTATATGATCACGAGCAAATTACTGAATCCTCAGGAGGAAAAGGAGAAGGGGGAGAGGGGGGAAGAGCAAGAGAGAAAGAGACAAACCCCAGCATTTCATATGCAGCCGTTACAGCCCAACCATTACATATTTTACACCGTTAATTTAACTTTTATTACATTTTCATTGTTAAAAAATAAACCAGAGCCTTATTGTGCAAAACAGCTGTCTTGGACATATTTTAATTTTTTTTTAACATTATTATTATTTAATGGGAGCACCAGTAGCGTTTGATCAATTAGACACCTGTGGATGCATCCGCTGTATGGGCTGGGCTGAAGGTTGAGGTGATCTGTTCAATCACATCTGCAGCAAATTACTTGAAGGATGAACAGCACAAACAACAGGGACTAAATGACTTTCTCCTCGGTGATGATGTGCAAAACTCGGCCGGGTTCCAAGTGGAGTTCAGTGCAGACAGAGGAAGGATTTAGAGCCAAAGCTCCTTAAGATAAACCCACACCAGGCACACCTTGCCGTGGGTGGTGGGACAAACACAGCCACGGGCTGGGGGGAGGCACCAGCCTGGGATTGTTGTGCCACGTTGTTTTGCACGTCTCAGAGGAGCTTCTGCTCCTCCTGGGTGTACTGGAAGAGGAGGGGTTGCTGTCTGGGCCATGGGACGTTAGGGAATGCCTCCTTCTGCTGCTGCTGCAGAGACCCTCACATTTCACATTCCACATTTCCTGCACCCATGTCCGTGGTTCCACCAAGACCTGTCTGGGGGAGGGTGGCACCAGCTTTCCAGGAGTCAGAAAATCCAGCCCCATTTGGAGCCTGGAACCTGGAGAATCTATGGATGCCCCACCCCTGGAATTGTCCAAGGCCAGACTGGATGGGTCTTTGAGAAATCTGGTCTAGTGGAAGGTGTCCCACCCCATGGCAGAGGACTGGAATGAGGTGAGATTTAAATCCCTTCCAACCCAAACAATTAAATGATTTCTTGCAACTTTATCTTCCCAGTTTGCATCTTTAGGGTGGACTAGGAGAAACCCACCCCCTGGTGAGGATGCTGGTGGGGACCCTCACTCTGCTGTGGGTCACCCCATGTTCCCCACAACAGAACAGCCACATAAAAAATCCTTTTTCCTTGCACTGGGAAGTGATTTCTGTGCAGAGAAACCACACTGGGGAAACTGCTCTGTCCTGCCCTGAATGGGGAAGGCACAAATGAGCAAAACCACAGCTTCCCCAGCCCCACAGGTCATATATTCCTGGAGAAACCATGGAGAGGGGTGACCTCCCACCTGGGGTCTCCAACCATGCTGAGAGCAAAGGTACAGCCAGCAGCTGCACATCACCAATTTGCTGCCCTTTCCTTCTCTGTGTCACTGGTTAATGGCACAGCTTTGCAACACCACCAGCAATTCAGTGTATTTGAGCCAAAAGAGGCTTTTTTCCTGCAGATTCTCGAGTAGGTTGCTTAATTTTTAATAAACTCTGCAAACTCCTGCTAATTATCACACGGCTCATTTAACTGAGCGGCTTTCCTTCCTGTAGACTGAGGAGGAAGAACAGAGCAGATGGCTCAAATATCATCTTTTTCTGAAAGGTCCTTCCCCCCCCAGCAGGCACATCCCAGCTTCCCACAGCCCCTGCAGGGTTCCTCCACCCCCACTGGGTCCTGCTTTGGCTCAGCCTCTGCTCCAGGCCAAAACCTGGGCACGTGGAGATACCCACCTCTGCTCCTCTGGAGGGCAAGACCTGCCCTGGGAGGGAAATATTTTTTTTAAAAAAAATCTCCATTTGGAGAGAGTCTGCTGAGCCAAAGGGGTTTGGACAGATATGCCAGCGCTCATGGGCAACTAGAAACCCTTGGAAGTGGTTGATAATTTTTTCCATGTTTCTTTTTGCCCCCTTCCGCCTGCACTTGCTGGGTAAGTGTACAGGCTTCAGAAAGGATGGAGATGCTCTGAGGTAATAAAAAAAAAGAAAAAACAAAAACGATCCTGGAGTCAGTGCTGCCTTTCATGTCCTGTAGCTGTGTGAGGAGATACAGATCCCAGACCCCACATGCTGAGCCTGTGATGTTCAGACTTGCTAAAAGTCAGGACAAATGGATTTCACAGCTCATGAAAACTCCTGAGGTGGACTAAGCAGTTTCAAATCTCTATTCCCCACAGGAATAAACCCCCTGGGATGTTTCGAAAACTTCAGCCTGAGGCAGCAGAGAGAGCTTTTTTTCCAGTTCACTTAGAATTTTCTGCCCTGGAAAAGAATATTCAGGGTTGCCAGATCCTGACCCAACTCAGTACTGGGTAGTTTCTACTCCATCAGCCCTTGCCTGCCCATTGCTTCCCAAAAACCTGCAATGTCTGACTTGGCTGGGGGGTTTTACCTTCATTTATAGCACTGCTGTGGTTTTCCAGAAATTACATAAAACACAGCTAGCAGAGAAACTGTTTGTGAACATCTGAACAATCTACCTTTCACATCTGCAAGAAAAAGACACCACTACCTCCCCACCACTCAATTTTTCCATCAAATATCAAAACTGCAACACCAAAACACAGCAAAGGATGCTCAAAGCAGCGTGAGCAAGGGGGGATATGGGGTGGGTGCTGAGTGATCCCCCACATAAATCTGTGTGAGGTGAAGTGGAGGGAGTGACAAGCTCTGCTCAGGAGTTATTCCCAGACTTACTTCATCAGCTCTGGGTCTTCTTTATCATCCTTTGTCGGGGTGATCTTGATCCCACTTTTCTTGGCACGAGGGCAGCCTGACAGACTGTGGTTAAAAAGAGAAGAAAGGCCTGTCTCACTGGCAGAATCTCTGCATTTGCTATTCCCCCGCTTCAGTCATCTTTCCCTTGAATTTGGCACAGTGTTTTTGATCTCTCTCGTTTTGCAGCTTCACATCACGAGGAGAAGTCAGAAGGAAAAAAAATAGTAAAAAATTGAGGGAGATGGACAGTAATTAATGGTGTCTAGATAAGAAGATATCTGCTAACAGCCTGCAATGTTTAATAGAATTGTTGAAACAGAAGGCTCAGATCTGTGCTATTAATGTTCTAAAGTGATAATAGAAGTCATAAATAGGTAGCAATATTAACAGGAACATTGCATCAGCTAAAATCTGACCCTTTGTCTTTTATTCTGTTGAAAGGAGCTTCTAATCAGATTCTGAAAACATCAGAAAAAAAAAAAGAAGTCAGATTAAAGAGATGAAAATAGGCTTCAGTTGTCAGTAACATTAATGTTTTATTCAGAACTTTACAACTCTGCCCACTGCAGGGGAAAAAAAAAAAAAAAAAAGAAAGAGAAAGCAACACAGAAAGAGACTGGAGATAAAATAATTTAAGGGAGATCTTACCTTCTATGTGATGCATAATTTCCTGTTATGTGACCAGAGCCATCACAACCAGGAGTAGGGCACCTGCAGAGGCAAGGGAGGCTCAGATTAGCCTGGGGATGTGAGCAGGGGATCAACACTTTGTGACAGCTCTTCTCAAACAGAAATCTAAGCACTGTCAGCGTGAGCAGGTTTTTCCTTCCTGCCCCTTCCCCCTCTGTATGGACAAGATTTGGTCTGTAATATCCGTGGTACTGATTTCAATGCACCACTGCATGATGTGACATTGGAGAGGAACACCTTGGGATGTTGGGAGTACAGTGAGGAGCTGCTCTCTCATGAGAGGATGCAGATCCCAGCCTGTGTCCCCACCCTCACGAAGGGGATAGCTCAGAAGCTGATAATAATTAAAATGCCCCTCCAGGACAGTGTTTGTCATCTTTAGGATGGCATAAGGAGACAGCAAGGGTCATCCAGGGCCAGCAAGATGGACCCAGGATGAGAGCAGAAACTGGAAAAACAGCTGACAGCTCTGGACAGCAGGGCCACCACGGCCACCACCAACAGAAGGCTTTGGCTCAGGTTTGGGTGACTTTTGGAGCATAATCTCAGTGAGGGCAAGTGGGCAGCCCGTGGCAGGAGGGTCTGCGGAGTGCAAAAACACTGGCCAATGCTTCTGATGACAAATGATGGAGAAACAGGAGGAAAAAGGTTAGGTTAGCCCTGGGACCACTCCTTCCACAACACCATGGGCAGGGGACAGGGAGTCAGCAGGGGACAGCCTGTGAGGGTCCTTTGGCTGGGGACCCCTGGGTCACCACAGACGGTGCCCTTTCTGCAGACTCTGCCCCTCAGCTGCTGCCTTACAAAACTGGCACGTCACCAGTTTGCTGCCTGCCCTTTCCTTCTCTGTGTCACTGGCTAATGGCACAGCCTTACAATTCAGTGTATTTGAGCCAAGCCAAAAGAGGCTTTTTTCCTGCAGATTCTCGAGTAGGTGCATCCGCAGCCGTGAGTTTCCAGGTGAGCATCCAGAGGTCTCCATGGGAGGCTGGAGGTCACTGCTGTGGTCACCCAAAGGTGCACAAACGCTGGAGGTCACTGCTGTGATCACCCAAAGGCTGGAGGTCACCCAAAGCTGGCAGGGAATGGCCCGAGCTCAGCAGCGCATCATTAATGGTAAGGGATGGAAAGGAGCACAAAGATCTGCTCCCTGTGCTGCAGGTGACATAAAAGTTGTCATGGGGACAAGGGAGAGAGGTGAGCAGTGTTTGCAGAGGATGTGCAGGCCAGCCTGCCAATTAGCCAGGGCTTTTTGAGTCAAGTGATTTAAGGCCAGGGGAGGGGGTGTGTCGCCATGATATTTTCTGAAAAATCCCTTCGCCAGGATTTCTTCTCCTGGGAAGCTGGGAGGCTTCAGCTTCTCCCTGTTTTGTTGGTTTTGGAATGTGATTTTTTTATCCAGCATGTGAATTGTTTTAATTTAATGACCAATCGTGGTCCAGCTGTGGGGAGGCTCTGAGGAGTCACGGGTTTTTCTTTATCATCCTTGTTAGCCTTCTGATGCATCCTTTCTCTCTTTCTTTTAGTATAGTTTTAGTATACCATTTTTTAATATAATATCATGAAATAATAAATCAGCCTTCTGAGAAGGTGGAGTCAAATTCTCATCTCTCACCTCGTCCTGGGGACCCTCACAAACACCACAGGGGTGTGCAGAGGAAATGCAGGGTGCAGCTGCAGGACCAGGGGGAGATGCTCACTGCTCCTTCTGAGCAAAGCTCAGGGCACATCCAGGAGCTTGCAGAGCACCCTTTCTCCTTGAGGGAGGGGTTTTTGGTGTCCCCACTTTCTCCAGCCCTGTTTTTAAAACCACCAATGCCTGGTGTGGGTGGCTGGGTGGTACCTGCAGCAGGGCAGGGTTGGTGTCTCCAGGACACGGCAGGGAAATGATGGTGATGCCCGGGCAGCCCCTGAGCTCAGAGCTCTTTGGAAAGGCAGGATGCTTTCCCTAAAGCTGGACAGGGCTCTGAGCAGCCTGATGTAGCTGAAGATGTCCTTGCTCACTGCAGGGGTTTTGGCCTTTAAGGCCCTTTCCAATCCAAACTATTCTGTGATTCTGCACTGCTGCTCTGCCCCCTGAGAGCCAGTGGAGCAGTGGTTTCCACAGGTGACTTTCATTTGGCAGCTTGGAAAACACCTGTTTCTAAAAAGCCTTCCCATTTTGTATAGAAAATACCAAAATTCTCCTCTTTGCAGCAGCTCTGAGGGAGACCTTGGTGTTTGCAGGTCACTGAATAATCTCCATTGGCAAAAAATTGGCACCTCACGTTGGGTAAGAGAGCAGGGACATGGCCTGGTCCTAGAGGGGCAACAGGGAGGCTCAGAGCCAGGAAAACATAAGTGCACATGGCTCTGGTGCAGTAAGGGCAGGACACATCCAGCAGGACCTCAATGAGGGTGCAAATTCTTCAACTCATTTAGAAATTCCATGTCTGGGAGATGACTGGGATATTTCCCAGCTCTACACTGTTACAGTAGAAAGCAAAACTATTTCTCTGTTGTTTTAGCTTCAGGGTGGGAGGAAATTATGAAAACACTAACACCAAACTCTTTCTTCCTTTCAGGATTTTTAAAGAGGAGAGAGAAGTAATTTGATTTTTATTTTTAATTATCTGGAGACAAATCATACCAACAGAGACCTTTTATTGCATGTTCCAGCCTGGAGCTATTTTTTTTTATATCAGGGATATTAACCCCTAAAATAGAATTTATAATAGAAACACTGACATGGTCTTATCTGGAGTTCTGAAAAGCTGTGACTGTGCCATCTGTAATATCTCAAAATCCCTTCCTCCCTCCTCTGCTCCGTCCTCACCAGGACATAGGGGAAAATAAGGTATTCGAGGGAATAATATTAACAAGCTTTATTTTTTGGACCAGAAGTCTCCTTTTTTACACAGTATTTTGATAAAAAGCTCTGACACTGGATGCCAGAGGGGAACACAGCAAGGCTGGACACGATGCTCAGTCCCAGGAATGAGCCTTTTGCTTTTTGTCGGGCCCTTCCTGGGAATGGCCACTGCTCCTGAGAGCTTTTAATATCTTTAACACTAATTGTCTGATCACTTGGCTGTTCTTTCAAACTGTTGGAGAAACACCAGATCAGCAGAGCTCTTTGAAGAGCTCCTTTCAGAATGTGTATGGTCTATAGTGTGTGATTAAGTGTACTTAGCACTAATCACAGCAGTCCTTGCCCTCCACCAGCAAATTCTATTAATATCAGCTAATCCTGACGCTTTGTCCACCTCTGTGATAAGGAGCAGGTGGTTAACTAACACCTTTCCTGGCACCAGCTCCACACTGGTGATAGGGCACAGAGAAGTCCAGGAGCCACCACAGAGGGATTTGGGACTTTTCCAATGACCTTAGTGACCAGTGGGAATAGCACTGGCTCAGCTCCAGAAACCCCTGATGGCACACAGGGCACAGCACTCTTGGGTTTTTTCATGATGACCCTGTGCAATGTGAAGCCCTCCATGAGGTTTTACTCTCAGTGGAGGCTCCTCAGTTAGCTCAGTGTCTAAATGGTCCAAAAACTGAATTCAGCAAGGCTGGGAACTCAGAGGAGACTCGGCCTGCAAGGATAGGCTGGGCCCATGAAAGAGATGATGAAAAAAAATTCTCAATGGGCTTTACACCAGAGATGCAGATTGGGTGGAGAGGGTTGGGGTCTCCCCAGTGTTCCCAACCAAATACAATTTCACCTTCCTTTAGGGAAGGCAACCTAAGAGAACGTTTGGGAAACCCACCTGGGAAGAATAAGCTCCTACTGAAAGGGAGGAGTTTGGAGAAGACAGCAAAGCTGAATATGGGATTCAGAGGAAGATACCTGAATGAAAATGTCAAAACCAGGTTCCTCCCTTCAGAAACATCAATGGTAATGGGAAGTTTGGGTTTCTGTGAGCCCCTGACCACTGGCTCAGGATCTGGCCTCACCAAGCATTTGCTCACTCCTTCTTTCATTCCCTCACAAATCATAGAAATGAAGAGGAACCTCTCTCACTACATCCCAAACAGCCCCTAAAAAGTAGCATAAAAATAGCACCCCAGGTTCTCTACAAGAGTTGGCTTTGATTGTGCTGGCAGTGAGCTCCCAGCCATGTCTCTACCCAAAAATAAATCCAGGCTCTGGATTATTTGAGATGGACAAAAATATTAAATGAAAAGGGTTCTGGCCCAAACTAGGCAACAAGAGCTTGGGAAAAGATGCCAAGTGAAAAGAAAAATAACATGTCTACAATGCCCAGAGGAAACCTGCCAGGCATCCAGGTTATTTCCAATCATTGCCATGAGCCCCCTCCCCAAAATTATCCTTCCTTCATGCCATTGCCTCTTCAACGCAGCAGCTGGAAGCTGGACTCCACCAGAGCTCCTTGCAGGCAGGTTTTGATCAGCTCTTTGAAAGGAGAAGGGAGGGGATGGAAAAGCAAAAGCAGAGCAAGAGGTGTGGGGGCAGGAAGGGAGAAGAGAGGAAAAAAAGGGTGGAAATAAAGAAAAAAAAGGAGTTCCAAGTTGAGCGCAAACATACTTGAGGTCAGCAGAGTGGGCAGCCATGAGGTTTCTGAGGCTCTTGTCAGCAAGAGGACAACCAGAAAGGCTGAAAGAGAAGAGATGGAATATCTGGATAAGCAAAAAAAAAAAAAAAAAGAAAAAGAAAAAGGAAAAAGAAAAAGGGCTGGGGCATGGGGAGGGAGAGGGGCAACAGAAGGGGGGAGGAAACAGAACCAAACTATCCACATGGTCACAAACTATACCAAAAGAAAATAAAAGTTGTTTTTAAAGTTCAAACCACGTAGAAAATGTCGACCCACCTGCGGTGAGAGGCATAGTTCCCCGTTATGTGTCCACTGCCATCACAGCCTGGGGTTGGGCAACTGGGCAACAACAACAACAAAGAGCATAAGTGTGGGAAAGGAAGGGATTCCCCAGGATCCACGGGTGGGCAGAGCCAGCAGAGCCCCCTCAGGGTCTGTCTGGGGTGTCTCGGTCCAGCCCTGCTGCCAGACCCCTGACACCAGCCCCATCCATCAGATCTTGGTGTGTGTTTCTGTGTTTGCATGGATATAAACCAGCTGTTCCCCTTCCAGCTCCCCTTCCTCCCTTTTTCCTTCTAAAAGATCATAAGGATCCTAAAAACAATTAGGGGAAAAAAAAAAAAAAGAGAGAGAGAGAAAAATGTGGCAAAGGCAAAGAAAGTGTTTAAAACCCTTAGTTGATGGGAGGGCTTGGTGGCAGTGGGGGACTGGCACAACCTGATGGGTGGCACAGCCTGACAGATGTGGCCACCCCTGGCTGCTGCTGCCAGGTTGGATCATTCCTGCCATGCTGAAGCTCTGGCTGCAGGAATCATCTTGCTGAGATTTCAGATAAGGTGCTTCAGATTGCTGAAATGATTTTTTTTTTTTCTCCCAGCCCTTAAATCTGCAAAGAAAAGCTTGCAATCTCTGTTTGCTGCCAAAATGAAATGACAGTAACCTCTGGCTGTGCCTGGGAGTGATGGGCAGATACAGGTGAGGGGCACCTGCCTGGAAATGGCACAAGAACTGCACCCAGATGCAGAGCATCAGACACAGCAGGCGAGTCTGCTCCTGAGATAACTACAGCTAATTCATTACAGCCCCTGGGCCAGAGAGGAACATGGATATTAAATGGAGAGGGAAGGCTCAGGGCTGCCCATACACCATTTATTTATTCCAGGGCTTTTTCCATTCAGGAAATTTCTCTACCATCACAATAAAATTAAAGCACAGGAGGACTTCAGGGCTCTAGTTCAGAAACTGCTGTTCACATCACTGGTGGGCTTTAAAAAACCCTTTAGAGCTTTGTGTAGGGCAGCTGATTCTGAGCTTTGCTCATTTAGGGAAGATGCTGCTGCTGCTCTGCCCCCACAGATCTCCTCCCTGCCTGGCTGCAGATAACGAGTGGGTTGGATGAGATCAGCAAAATGGTGCCCACCAACTCCCTGTGAGATGTGTGGGAGGGTCAGATGCACAGGAAAGAAGCCAGGAACAGCTGGGATGCCTGGGAGGGGGAATCTCCCCATCACAACCTCCAGGCTGATCCTGACGTGCTGTTAGACCAGAGCCAGGTCCAAGCTGCCACATTTGGCTCAAACCCTTAAACATTAATCATTCCTGTGGGAACTGGTGTGGATGCAGAGCCTTACTCCATCCAATAGGGCAGGTCTGGGTCTGTGCTTCTGCCCACACGATGGACAGACAGAAGTGAGCTGGGTCAAGGTCTCTCTCCAATGCAAAATGCAACACAACAGGAAACTTGCTGCAGCCTCAGGTCACACTTTTGTGTTCCTGCAGTTTCACAGTGCTGGGACCCATTGCTCTAAGCCACTTCTCAATGAGACCCCTTGTGTTCAACATCCTCTTCAAGAAGGTGTTTAGTTCCCTTGGGTGCTCTTGGCTCCACAACATCAGCCAGTGTCCCAAAACAAGAAATTAGGACATTGGGTAGGTGCCATCACCATGCCAGAAACACTCTAACAGGAAAATACCAGGAAAAAATGGCCCTGAAAGGAGTTTCCCACAACCTGTCCATGAATCCAGAGCACGGAGCTCTCAGGTTCCCTTCATCACTGCAAAGTAACGTAGGAACATATTTTTCCTCATTGATCAGCAGTTGTAGGAGGATGAGTAAGATCAATCACAGTAGGAAAGGGAGCTACAGTTCTTATTTCTATAATGTATTTTCTAATTTTGTTTCCAACCGTCCTGGCTAAGCACATATTAATAGATTTTGGAGGAAGAGACATGAAGGCAGGACTTACGTGAGCAGCTCTTTCTTGATGTCCTTGGAGAGGAATTTCAGCTTGAAGTTGGTTAAAGTAACTTCACCTGGGTATTTTCTCTCTTCAAAGTTCTCCTCTGACACTTCTTGCTCATCAGCTTCCGAGGAGGCAAAAGAGTGAGCAGCAGGCTCTGACTGCAAGGAAAGGGGCAGAGTTGTGCTGTGGTCATTGCTGCTGAGCTGTGGTGGGAAAGGATCCCAAGTTCATCAAAGCTAAGGGTTAGTGCAGCATTGCCAGCATTCCTGAGCCCCCTGCAAGTACCTCACAGCACCCAGCCCAAATCCAAGAGCCTGTATTTTCCTGGGGTTTTAGGAGAGTTGTGTAAACCATATCTGTAAAGGGATTTACAGGTGGTTTTCTCAAGATCTTGAAGGAATGAAGATCAGTGCAATCTCCTCACACTCTTCCTCAGCAGCCTCCCCGTGGGCAGAGAGGCAGGTGATGGTCTCAGAGCCAGAACCCCCACCCCATCTGGGGGTCATGGCTGGATTCCCCACCTGCAGGATTAATGTCAGTGCCATGCAGGGCTGTAGCTGCTAATGGCAGATATAAATCATCCTGAAAAACATCACCAGGAGCAGCACTGCTGCAATGGGCTGACATGATTTACAATGAAGAAAACACTGCAGACCCAGGACAAGTGAAATGGTGGGTTCTTCCTTTGCAAGGGCATCCCAACAGATCCAAGAGCAGCTGCTTCCTGCCTGGTTGATATCTGATAGCACTGACAAAGCCAGGAATATTTCTTTCCTTGGCTCAACGGATAAACTGGGGATTCTGGGCAAAACAGAACAACTGTGCAGGCAAACATGGCACTCAATGTCCCATGAGCTGTTATTCAAGCATGAAGAGGCACCGCTCACCTCCTCTGGCTCCTCCTCCCGCTGGCGGTTTGGTTTCGTGTAGTCAATGGGCCCATCCCATTCGTCCTGGCGGGAGGTCTGGCTGGACTGGGGGGAGGTCATGGTGCTGCTCGTGGCACTGGTGCTGTTTTGGCGCTGGGACACGTCTGGGGACTTCATGCTGGGACTACTGCTGCAGCTGCTGCTGCTGGGGAAGGTGCTCTCCCGTTTGCGGTGCTTGTTCATACTCAAGTCCAGAGTCCCATTTTCATCCACCTCAATGTCCATGGACTGGAAGGTTGGAAACACAACCAATGTTAGCAGCTGACAGAAGGTCCCCATGGGGATCTTGCCCCTGTTTGTCTTTTTCAGTGCAGTGGGCAGGTATTCATGTCCCATCCTCTCCACTGTCAGGTAGGAGGAACTGAACAGAAAGGGTTGCTCTTTCCTAAACATTTCAGGAACATGTCATGCAAAGGCACCCCTCTACTAGAATGGTTTGGGTTGGAAAGGACCTTAAAGCTCAACTCATTCCAACCTCCCTGCCATGAACAGGAACACCTTCCAGTATCCCAGGTTGCTCCAAGTCCCATCCAACCAAGCCTTGGCATTTTGACTCAGTTGATTGAACACAGGCATCTAGTGCCACTTAGGATGCCTCATGGCATCCAAAACATTTGCCCAAGGTTGGGAGTACTTTGTGGGACTTTGGGAAAACCTGTGTTTTTCTGAAAAACAGCTGGAGGTCAGACTGGACACAACTGGGGAACTTCAAATGGCATCAGATACAGATCAGGGAATGACTGAAACCAGCTCTGAGAATCATGGAATTACAGAATTGTTTGGGTAGGAAAAGCTCTTAGAGACCATCAAGTCCATCACCCAGCACTGCCAAGCCCACCACTAAATCATGTCCCCAAGTGGCACATCCACATGTCCTTTAAATCCCTCCAGGGATGGTGACTCCACCACTGCCCTGGACAGCCAGTTCCAGGGCTCGGCCACCATAAATCATAAATATTTCGTAATATCCAGCCTCAGCCCAAGACCTGGAATTGATGCTCATCTCACATGGGAAATTTCAACCACGAGACACCTCCACACCACTCAAAAAGCCAAGATTCCCTTCTCCAAATGCAAAGTGAGGAGCCAAAAGCGTGATTTTGGGTGAATGCCGGCATTGCCTCTATATTTAAAAAAACAAACTTAAAGGAAGGGTAAACCAAGGTGTCTCTTCCATCCTGAATTCCAAGTTTGGCCCCTGGGCAGTGGCTCCTGGCCACATTCACCCACCTTGCCAGGGGCCTCTTGTTGTTTGGTGCTGAGATTCTCGGGCATCTCCCAGCAGCGGGTGGAGAGGTTGAGGATGGCGGTGGCCGCCATGTGTGCGGCCTCAGCGTCGTGGGAGTAGTCGAAGCCTGTGGAGGAAGATGAAGTGCTCTTCACGTAACTGCTGGAGGGGCTGTGGCTGGGGGAAGAGGCCTTTGGAAAAGGTTTGGCTGGAATAAAAAAGAGAAGGAACAACACAAGGCTAATGTATAAGTGGCATGAGCAGCAGGGGAAGGTTAAGTCAGTGTGACACGGTTAATGTATGCACAGTTCCTGGGGTTATTCCCAATCCAGGGGCTGGTTTGTTGCCTGGAACGTGCAACAGGAGCAGTGCTGGCTGCAGCTCGTGCTTGGTGTGAAAGGCTAATTCATTAACTGACTCTGCCATAAATACCCAAAACACAAGTGCTTTTCTTCATTAGAGCTGCTCCTGGGTGGAAGCAGTTAAAGGAGAAGGCTTAGAGAAGCTTCCTGACTCATTTTTTATTGTTCTCTCTCTGTCCATAACTTATTTGCAGGGCTGCCTTGCAGGGAGATTTCTAGTACTGTGTTTGAAAACTTTAAATTTATAAAATTACATTAACAGAAAATGCATGGTCATAAAATATGAGCTTCCAAGGATGACACTGGTGAAATATGGATTTTCTGACAGCTGACATATCATTTAAATATGCCAGAGTAACAGGATTTATTGCACAGCTGCACATAGCCACGCTGCTGCTCTGCTCCTGTGTGTCACAACAGCAGCAACCAGCCTGGAGATGCAATTTCTCTTCATAATCTGTGAAATGAAAATATTTCTCAGGGTGGACTCACAATAAAACTTTCCCTAATAATAACAACTAATAATTCCCTATTAATAAAACTTGAAGCTGATCCTATTTAGGGCTCCTCAGTAGTTTCAGTGGGTGCAAACAGGAGATCATCTGGTTTAGAACAGCCACAGGACTGTATTCTGAATCAATTATCAAAATCTTCAAATTCTTAATTTATTCCACCTTGCTCTTTCTGGGGGAAACCATCCCCACTTTAGTGGGAGGCTCACCCAGGGAAGACTCATAAGCTTTGGCCTGATCATGGCAAAACAAAGCCAACCTCAGCTGATGCAGCCATGGAGCAAAGTGATTTCATTATTCCCATTACAAACTTGTAATATAAGACACTATAAAATACTAATCTTCCCCAGCCCTGCTTTCTTCCTCGTTGCGTGCGTATATAATGCATATTGACATTAATGGGAGTTACGCACACACATGCGGGGGAATATAAATCCCTCTGGATGAAGATCTCTTTAAAATAAGTTCTCAGTGAAAGGAGCAGATTCCCTGCTATGATTGGCAATCATATTCATCCTGTCGCTTTGATTAACTCATTGGAGGCTTGCCCACATGGTTATTCTTGTGTCTGACTGCTTGTTTTCCTGTCCGGTTTAATCCACGTCTTCAAGGCGGGGTGCGAGTATTTGCCAACCCAACCTGACAATATCCAGGATCGGGAGATGCCAATTTCAATTTCACACCGTAGGCTCAGCGATGCTTTTCCATTTCATAAGTATTTCTAGCACTAATAGACTCGCAATCAGCAAATTAGTGAAATAAGCGATGAGAAAAAATAGAAAGGATTATCCTAGTGGGTCTGCTGGAATTATTTTTGTCAGTACAATTACCCTGAAAATTCTTTGCTAATATTGCAAATAACACAATCTATTCAGCGAGAGAATCACTTGTACTGGGAAACAAATTACTTTTCCATCAGCCCTAACCCAGGATGACAGTGGCAGTTGTGCTCTCTGGCCTCCATCCAATTTCATTGTCTGATCCTGTACAGATTTAGTACTGTAATAAAGAGCGCTCCCATTGTAGTGCAACAACCGGGATGCTTTCAAGTACGAGCACTTTTTAGAGAGCAGCTGCATCAGGATTAAACAGGATTGTGGAAGTGGGATTAGCCAGACAGAAAGCCCTCTTGAGGCCACTGACTTTTGCAAAATGGGCTCCTAAATATTTTCTTTTTCCCCTCAAAAAAATGTCTTGAGGTGCACAGTTCATGTCAAATATCACATTTGCAAGGGCTGTGTCCCCATGCAGTGTCCCTCCTGCCTTTGGCAGCCCGACCCCTCAGGGTTTATTCAGCCATTTCATTTTCACTCAGAGTTATAGCCAGTGCAAAGTCCTCAGAACAGAGCAGAGGTGGGTGGCTACGATAGGAAAGAGCTGGAAGATAGAGGTGGGTGATCGATAGGTAGAGCTGGAGAGCAGAGCACGGCAGGGAAGACAAATGGGGGGAGTGGGTCATATATAAGATGGAAGAGAAGAAAACTGTAATCCATTTAGCTAGATGAGGAAAGCCAGATCAATAGATATGAGCTGCAAAGCAATGGGGACCAACTGAGGACAACTGTGTAACTTATCCTACCTCGAGACATCACTCAGATTAATGTTCCCACCACAGTTCTTCCCAAAGCCAAAGAGACTCTCTTCCAAACAAAGCTTTCCCAGCAGCCATGGACTCCCCTCACCGTCAAAGGTGCCCACCTTGGGACCCACCTCACCCTCCCCATTCCCAGGAGGGTCCAGCAGCTCAGCCCCAAGCGTCTCCCATCACCCCAAACCACAATCCCAAGAGCCTCACAACAGGCTGAGAAAGGCAGAAAATGCAAAAACCAAGTCCATTCCTGCTCCCAACTTACATTTAAAGGCTTTAGGTGAGGTTTCGCTAGTCTGAATCTTTGGGGCAAGCATGCGTTTGCCAAAAACCTGAGCATCAAAACTTGCATAATCGAAGGTGACCTTGGAGTACTTCTCCAGCTCCTTGGCCAAGTTGGCCCGGGGGGTTGCTGGGACCATGTTGGGCCTGTAGCTTCCATACTGAGGGATCTCCAGTTGCTTCACAAAGCACATAGGCCTGAGGATGAAACAACAAACAGCAATTATTTCTCTTTACCTTGACGAGGTGACTGTTGACAGGGGACCAGACACAATGGGGGCACAGCTGCCCCTTGTTCCTAAAGGCTTCCTGGGGACGAGGAGGCAGTGACAGCCCTTTTGCTCTCCCTCAGCAAGGCTGCATCTGATTTGGATCTCTCAGACTCCAGTTTTATTTTTTCTATCCTTTTCTACCTTCATTTTTTTTCCCCCTCTTTTTAAGCAAAACATTGAGTTGCCAACTTCATCCAGCACAATATTCTTGCAGGCTGTCATGGTGTGGCAGCATTTTCCAGAAGAGAACAAACTTGGGCAATAACTCCCTCATGGGACCCATGACACAGGGTGGCACATAAAGGCACGAGGACCCCGGTTCAGCTCAGCTCCATGCTGCAGGTTCACTGCAGAGGCACCAGGGCCTCTGCCCTGCCTCAGCCCCTCCTAGAGACCCGCTGCTACTGGGCTGCCGATCATGAATCAATTTGTCTTGCATATAAATTGTATATAAATGGCCTATTGTTATTCTCCTTCCCATGACCTCTTTCCACCAGAGAGTCCTCGGAGCGGGAGCTCCTTGGAGCACGGACCGTCCTCGTGATGCGCTCAGAGCGCTCTGCGCGGGCTCCGCTGCAAATAAATAAGTAATTGCTCTAAATGGCCTTTCCAAAGTAGCGAGAGCTGGAGCACCAGGGTGCCCAGCAGTCCTGGGGAGCAAATAAATAAATGAATCAGAGCTCGTTGCCTTTGTGGGAGGGCTACTCGGGGCTCGCACCGCGGTTTTTATCCCGCTCTCGTTGCAAAATAACCAACCATATTCCAATCCATCTGTAGCCTCGTGAATCACATCAGCTATGGAAGCCAGCATCTATCAGGGACATCCTTAATGGGAGACAGCCCTTTATCTTGGGAAGAGAGAGATGGGCAAAGTATCAAAATTAATGTGACTGGTTTGGAAACGAGCAGCAGGTTCCTCTCCTCTGAAAACTGCAGGCTAAGGAAGAAAAGCAGGTGGACTTGAATGCACAACTGCCATGGAGTGATTTGTGTGTAGCCTAAATCTCCTCCTTCTTCTCCTCCTCCCTCCCCAAGCCCACCCTTCTTATAATGCTGATATAATAACCAGTCCTGGCTGGCAGTTTGTGCTGTGGAGCAATCGGCACAAGTGCCTTCTGCTGCACTGCTAAAACCCTTTGGCCTGTAGCCTCAGCATTAATTGATGCTACAGAAGCAATTCATTGTCCTCAATGCTCTCCCTGGGATCATCAATTAAATATCTCCCCACCTTGGCGAGACCTATGATCATAATAACAGGACTCAGCAGTATCAAAATACAGCTGGAGCCGTGGCTGCTGTTCCTGGGAGTGTGGCAGGGCAGGGGGGGGCTGGGGCAGTGTGGGGACATGGAGCTGAGCCTACCTGTCCCCTTACCTGAGTATCCGGTCAGAATTGGAGCTGGTCTTCGCAGGATCACCAGACTGGGTTTGTTGCTTTTCATGTGATTTGGCTAATTTCTCAGCAGCAGCAATGGGGCACCCAGATAAACTGTGGGAGTTGGTTGGGGTTGTTTTGTTTGTTTTTTTTTTTGAAGGAGAAGAAAAAGAGAGAAAGAAACCAAGCATGAAGAATGAGCACAGAAACCTTCATTTCACGGACCCAGAACTACACTAAGCCTGTGAGAAAAGTATTTGCTTCCTCCACACTGAACAAGTTCAATTAAAAGACAAATTCACCTTGCACCTCATCAACACAGAATCATTAAATGATATAGAATGGTTTGGGATGGAAAGGACCTTAAACTCAATTCATTCCAACCCCCTGCCATGGGCAGAGACACCTCCCACTATCCCAGGTTGCTCCAAGCCCCATCCAACCCAGCCCTGAACACTTCCAGGGAAGCAGCAACCTGTGCCAGGGCCTCACCACTCTCATAGGGAAGAATTTCTTCAATCTACCCCTGTCCTGTGTCGTTTTGAAGCCATTCCCCCACCCTGTCAGCCCGTGGCTGTGACAGAAGAAGCCAAAGCCAGTACCTCCTGTGCGTGTTGCGGTTGCTGTTGACGTGACCCTGTCCAGTGCACCCGGGCGTGGGGCATTTCAACACGTTCTCGTGCATCGCCAGGACTTGGGAGCAAGAAGGGGAAGGGGAGAAGGGAAGGGAAAGAAAAACAACTTAATAAAAATCAGAGAGGAAGAAAAAAAAAAAAAGAGAAAATCATCAAGCCTTGTACGCTGGTTTCCTAGAAATCAGGGAATGTGAAATGCTGTAATTAGAGTTTGCAGAGGAAAAAAGAAAATATTTGGAAGGCAGCAGAGCCCAGGTCAGCACTAGGTTAGCATCTCTGCACACAGCCTGGGCTTTCTCCCCATTTTCTGATTGCAATCCAGTTTCCCCCATCCAGCCCCTCCTCCCCACCCCAGTTTTGGAACCAAGTCTCCAGTTTCAGGTAGTTGTAAATGATTGAAGTTGTAGCTCTGCCTTTATCCTTAGGACTAGTCTTTGTTTGATTTTTTTTTTTAATTTTTAATCTTCAGGATTATTGCTTCCTGCAGCGCTGACCTTAAAAGTAAAGAAAATAATTTGATCTGCAAGCTTTTGTAAAGCCCACAGCTTGTGTTAGTTATTTATTAATATTTTTGCTTGCATTCCAGCCTGTGGAGATTACTGTCCTTTCTCCTTGTTTCTTCCAGTTCTGTGTTTATGTCAGGTCTGCAACCTTTGAAATTACTGATAAGGAAGGGTTCCTCTTTCTTTTGGTCTATTATGCCATTATCATAAACATACAACATTGATTTTTATGTATCTATACATGGAAAGCTATTTAGGATGCTGGTAGAGAGGTGGAAATACAATCTCTCTCTCTGTGCATATGTATATACAAAAATCTGTTATGAGGATGATAAATATTTTCTGTAGAATAGGTGAATCTTGGTATAGCCCTTAGGAAATTCTTGAGAGATTAGGGCATAGGAGACTCAGCACATCCTGAATCACTCATCACTCCTCTTCTTTCCTGCATGGCAACGTATTTGCACATCAAGGTAGAATAATATCCCTTTTTTCCATCATGATGTCCCAGGTAGGGAAAAATATGCAACTTCCAGTGTAAAGATGGGAGCTGCTTAACACACCTCTGGAGATGGACAGGCGTTTTTAAAGCCCCTCTTTGATTTTCAGAGAAGGGATCTCATTCTCCACAGGATGGTGCTAAAAATCCTTTAAGAAGGACGGGACTTCCAAGTAAATCCCCATCATGTTTCCTGTGATTAGCGATAACACTTTGGTTGATAACAGCATCCATCATCAACTTGGAAAAGCACCATCCCACACCAAAAACTCCTGTTTATACTTGAAGGAACAACATCAGACTTGGTCATAAAATTCATATTGTTTGGGGAATTCCCCTAAGAAAATTAGGCTCCAGACCAATCGAAGCAGCCCCGTGTATGGCACCATGTACTCACTCTCGGGGGGGATCCTGTCTTTGTGCGGACAGCCAGAGAGGCTGCGGTGGTGCGGGTAAAGCCCCGTGACGTGTCCAGTCCCATCACAGCCAGGAGTTGGACATTTGATTTCTCTCTTCTCAGGTCTTGAAGGATCTAAGGATTGTGGGGAAAGGGCAGAGGGAAGCAGGTTAGTGGATTTGGAGGGGAAGAAGTGGAAAGTGCTGAGGATGCTTCTCACTGCCTTTACAGTCAAGCAGGGGGAAACCTTTGGGTTTTGGAGGTTTTTTTCCTCTCAAGTGGGAAGCATAACACTGGAAATTTCAAAAATTGAAATTGGCAAAGTGATTTTAGGAACTGACACAGTTCAGAGCATAGAGACACTCACAGCAACTGAGCAGGCAGCCTGGCTCAGAGCTAGGGGATGCTGAAGTTCCTGCCCTCGTGTTTCTGTGGCCAGACTCCTACCACTACTTTAAAACCCACTTGGATTTTAAATCAGCCTTCTGCTCAGGCTGAAATTTTCAAGGTTAACTGACAATTTAGCCAAGCAATTCCTCTACTCAGAGGGAGGAACCCTCGTGACAGTGTAGAGGACGCCATCATTTTCTGCATTCACTGTGGAACTCAAGGATGTCCCCATCCCTTTGGACATTGAGGATTTGTGGTTGAATTCCCCCTGTGGGCTGTGAACTCTCCCCACATCAGCCTAATGGTCCGTGCTGAGCAGACAAGTTCAGCTCTTCCACCAGGGTTGGGAAGGAGGGAGATACACAAGGGTTTGTCCCATACCTTTGCCATAGTAGCTTTTCCGGATGCTGTCCAGAGGTTTGTTCTGTTTGTCCTCCACCTGGAAGTGCTTCACGTGCTCTCCTGGCAGCCGGCTGGGCTCCCGCACGATTTTCACCTGCTCGGCTTTCAGGGCAATGGCTTGTTCCAGCAGCCCCAGGTTGCCCCTGGTCATCATGTCGTACATCTCCGACTCATCGGTCACGGCTGATTTCTGGGAGCGGGCGTCGTCGTCCTTGTCGTCATCCGAGCGCACCTCCACGATGACCGAGTACTCGGGCTTGGGGCTGAACTGCCCTTCACAGTGGCTTTTCTGGGGGTCCTGAGAAGTGTGAGGAGCTTCCTCGCAGATCACTTCAGGAGCCATCTCCTCCTCCTCTTCCTCCTCCTCTTCTTCCTCTTCCTCCTCCTCCTCATCATCCTCTTCCTCCTCTTCCTCCTCCTCGTCATCCTCCTCATCATCATCCTCCTCATCCTCTTCTTCTGCTTCAGCCTTTTCCAGTTTGCAGGACTCCTCTCCGTTCGTGTCGTCCCGTGGCTCCGGACACAACTCGCTGCTGCGCTCGCTGGTGACCTCGATGACCTCCTCAGCGTCCTCCGTCTGGATGATGATCTCCTTGTCGCACTCCTCCTCCACCAACTCCTCTCCTGCATCCTCATGGACCAAATGCACGACGTTGGATGCCGGCTTGGAGCCCTGCAGCTCCGCTTCAGGCAGCTGCCCTTCGATGGCGAGGGTTTCCTCTGCTATTTGGCCTAAGTTTAGGAGGGAGTTGGCGATTATTTCTTGGTAGCTGCTGTAGTTGGCCTTGCTGGGCCCAGATGTACTTGTTGCTGTGTTTTGTCCATAGTGGGTTGATTTTGCTGGGCTTCTCTCTGAAGGGGGGAAAGAAGGAATAGAAAGAAGAAGGAGAAAAGAAAGAAAAGATGGAAAACAACAAAAAAAAAAGTGAGGAAATCAGAAAAGAAGGAAAAGGAGAAAAGAGTAAAGGAGGAAAGGAGGGGGAAGAGAAAAAAAGAGGGAATAAAAAAGGAGGCAAAGAAAGTAATTATATAAACTCATAAAATACAACTTTGTTGTGCTTAAACTTAATTGAAACCAGAGCCTGCAAGTTCCACCTCTGGAGCATCCTAATTTATTGAACTTGGGGATGGCAGGTGGAAAGAGGATTTCCACATAGGGACTCTGATGTACCATCTGCCCACTGCCACTCCTGCTGCCCGTGCTCCCCAGGCCAGGGCTCCAAACCAGTGAGCAAGGCAGTGTCAGGACCCCAGCTGAAAATCCATGTCCTTCTCCATGTCTTTTTCCTGACACTCCTCTGCTCTTGGATAGTGGCCAGATCTGTCCAGGGAGGAGGATCCTGCTGAGCCTCTCATGGCACCTGTGTGGGACCCCCATCACACAGCAAGCTCCTCTGTGCTTTCCATGAATCTGTCCCTAGGGAGCATCCCTGAAGGAAAAGCTCTCATTTTTAAGACACTGGAGGCACTGTGCCTTCTCAGCTTAACCCAAGCATGGCCATTGTGCTTCTACCCAACAATGGATCCCCCCAGTAACTGGGGCACCCATCCTGTACATAACCCAGAGGAGCTATCACTCCTGGCTGTAAACCCTTCCTGCCCTTTCTTCATCTGCAGAACACAGCTCTGCCATCAATAATGATGAAGCACCTTCTGCTGCCTCTGGGCTGTGGTTCTCCTCCTGCTCCAAGGCCTCTGCCTCGTCCTCCTCCAGCATCCCCTCGGACTCATCGGAGCCAGACTCCTCCTTGGCCTCGGCCTCCTCGCTGCCGTCGCTGTCGACGTTGTAGCCTTCATCCAAGGCCAGCTTGAGCGGGTGGGATTTCCTCTTGGACACCAGATGTTCGGCCTCAGCATCCTGAAGTTTCCTCTTCTTGGCTAGAGGGCAGCTTTGTAAACTGCAGATGGGATCAAGGAACAGAGAGGGGGCATTGCTGAGTGAGAGAGGCCTGGCTACCTCATCCCAACTGGTTAGGATAACATGAGTGGGACAATTACACAAATACTCCCCAGAAAATCATCCAGCACCCCAGATTTTTAGCTGGTTTAACCTCTCTGGCCACATGCGCTCTTAGACCTTGACTTTGTGGAACTACATCAACTTTTTTTCAGGAAATCAGCACACAAAAGCTGGGATGTGGCATCCCAGGACTAATGTTGGTGATGAAACCAGGCATAGGGTGCAGAACCAGCCCCAACTGCTCCAATTTCACAATTCATGGGGTGATGTAAACCCTCAGTTAAGGCTTGCATGACCTCCAATGTAGCCAATGTGTTCTCGTGTGCCTTCCCCATCCATAGAGGCACCAGGCAGACCAAAATTTCTGCCCATCAGCAGGTCCCACCAACCCCAGACAGCTGAATCAGGCACTTCTGGCTGATTTTGGGGTCTCTAGGAAGGCTGCTATGAGTCTGGAGAAGCAGATCCCCCCCAGGATCCCTTGGGGACTGACGGAGAGCCAGAAACAAGAAGATTTGGGGCAGACAACTTAGATTGCTGCTCAAAGACAGACTTTCTCCTGTCTTTGGCTCTGTTGCTCACATTTTTCCATCCCCTCTACCTTGAACCCCACCTCACCTTCTGTGTCTCGCGTACTTCCCACGGATATGCCCTGAGCCATTGCAGCCTGGGGTTGGACAGCTGGGGAGGGAAACAAGCCACCATCAGAAACAGCAAGAGAATTTATGAGGATTGTATCACCTACAGTCAGTTAAACAGGTCCTGTGCCCGAGGAACAAGCTCACTGCAAGCAGGAAGTTAATTTCCTTCAAATGGTTCTGTTTGTCCCTTTGAATTCCAAGGGAGGAGGGCGGGAGAGCAGCCTTGCAGTTTGCTAAAAATTAATGAAATTACTCACCCCATTTAATTAGATGAACAGTTTGCTATAGTTTTATGAGTGTGTTTAATTAAAGATTTGCATGTGTGAGAGCAGCTACTGCACTCTGCCTCCCCGCTGCTACTCTCCAGTTTTCTTTTTCTCAGGAGGAAAACATGGGATTTTCCCTTATCTGGTGACTTGTCAGGGAACTGGGGCCGCTTACAGTAAGAAATGTGTGTGTTTTGGGGAAGAGCAGGCTGGGACTTTATCAAGGAGGTTTTAGCCAGACACGTTACATGGAGATCCCCAGGACTAAAATCCTCAAAACCTCACTTTTTGGGGGGAATGGATGGGATTTAGGTGATGAGATCTCCCAAATCCCTGTAATTTTTTCTTGCTGCTCTGCAGAAGAGGATGAGTTAAAGGCTTGCAGGGAGCTCTGAGCCTGCTCTCAGCCACTGCTGCCTTCACTTGAGCATCCCTCACACGGGACCACAAGCCTCCCCTGCAGGGGTAATTAGTCCCAGCTTCAGGAGCTGTAAGGGCTCCAGATAAGGAGCATTAAAGCAAACATTTTCTGGCAAAACCAGATTATGGCATTGATTATAGGATGCCCAAGTGACTTGCCTGATGTCTGAGGAATTCTGGAGTCGTGTAGGATTAATAACCTCATTTAGCACTGTATCACCCTCAGCCTGGGAAGCTGGAAGCACTAATGAAATCTCTTGATGACAGCGCAAAGGGAGAAGGCATCACCAGCCCAGAGGGGATCTGGCCAGCCTGTTATTCTCAGAGTAAAAGACATGGGACAATATTAAATAGTACCAAGTGCCAAGTCAGGCTTTGGGGACTCAGAGTTCTGCTCTCAGCAGAGCTCAGCCCTTGCAGAAAGCTGAGGACACAGAGGGTCTGGCTGCACTAATGGGTGCGGCAGCTCTGGGAGCACTGCTGGGTTATTAATCGTTCAGCTCCCTAGAATAAAAGTCAGATCTTTGTGTTCAAAAACCACAATTCAACCCAAAACTGGGGCAGGACAGGGCTGCTGAGCTGTCAGGAGAGTAGGAATCCTTCCTTCAGGGAGACTGACTGGCTTTAGGTTAGCAAAGCAAATGCTGAGAGGGTGAATTGGTGGCACCACATCCCCTAAGGGGTCACAGAGCTCTGGGGAGGTGGAAGCTGCCCCTCATGGCCCCTCCTGATAAATCCCCACTCCGTGCTGTCCCCTTTGCTTGTGACCTGGCTTGAACCCGTGCTGCTGCACATCCTCCAGTGCCATCTCCTGTGGGATGGCTCCCAGCTCTTCTGGCATCCACACACAGCCCCAGCCCCACCACACCTGGGTCTGGCCTGCCAGCGCAGTGTCCTTTCTCCAGCAGGACACTCGAGGCCATAGAGAAGAAGATCTCATCCCACTAACATGTGCAACTGGGAGAGGGAGCTTCCCTCTTTGCTGCTCATGATCTAAAAGTCTATTTAATTGTAATTGTCCTCAGGCCTCACTGAGGCTGCTCTGTCCCAAGCAGCCCCAGCCACACTTTCAGTGACTGCACACCAAAAGACAGAGCAGTGTTTATGTCACCAGTGACTTGCCTGAAAAAGGCCTTATTCAATGGCAAACAGGAGCAGCTCTGATGAAGATGTTAGAGGCTTTTATAAGCTTTCCTGTATCAATTAAAGCAGATTACCCATCACCCCATTTTTAATGTGGTCTAATGAAGCCTGCAATAAAAAGTATGTAGGAAAGACACAAGTGGTTCAGCATCGAGGTTTGCCTAAGCAGGTGTCGATTTGGGATGTTTCTGGCTTCACTTTATTGATTTAATGCCTTTAAAAAGCACCAGCACAAAGGTGATGCTCTACATGCTCTGGGCAAGGCTTTCCCTCCCCACTCTCCTTTGGGGAGTTTTCGTGTATTTTGGCACGAGTCCCGAAAGGGGGAACGGGATTCGAGGTCTATTAAAGCTGCTCTCCATCCCTCAAGAGCCACCACACCGAACAGCTCCCCCCTCTCCGCTGCCTTCATCTGCTTGACAAAAGGGCTTCTTATTGTTATGCAGACGATGCCCTGCTTCCAATTAGTCGATTAATCGTCCAGTTATTCAGGCAATTAGGTGACAGCTGCAGAGATGGCTTTGTGGAGCACTCTGTCCTGCCCCTTAGATATGTCACCTGCTCCAATTACCACCTCCACTCAAGTGTTCAGCAATAAAAGTTGGAGAAGGGGCATGCCCAGCGCTGGCTCCTCCCGGCTCTCCAGAGTAATCCCAGAGTGGAGGAGCAACGTGCTCTGAAATTGGGTTGGTTTAGGTGCAATTACTCTTTGACACACGCGGGAGGCTGCAAGGAGAGGCAGCCCCTGTCCAGGTTAAAGGTTCCTACGTCTGGCAAAGCTCCTGTGCAAGGTTTAGGGGGAGTTTGCAGGTGGGGGAGGCTGTTACACCTAATGAGAAGCTCTGGAGGCTGCACAGGCTCTGCTCCTGCTCTTTTGGCTGCTGCTGTTGGCATCCCAGCACTGCTAAATGAGTGACAACAGGAGCGCCGTGACTGAGCAGAGGACAGGGGGGTGAAGGAGCATCCAGCACCAGAAGTGATGCAACAAATATGTGGAAAAAAACCTCTGGTTAGCAGGATGGTGTCCCTAATGATGCTGAAACACAAACTGTGGGCATCAGGTTTGGCTGGGGTTTAGATCTGGGGTGGGACAGAGGATGGCTGCAGGGTCTCCAGCGTAATGTCATTCGTCTAAAGCTGCAGTTTATTTCTTTAACTCTTGTGATTCCCCTAATGACTTGTCCCTGAGGACTTGGACACAACCACCAATAGAAGACCCCATTAGTCCCATGGGTTTGCTCCCCTCACCCAGGTTTCCCAGCTGAGGGGCTTCTCTCAAGCCAGTCCCACCATGTGCCCCCCTCCATCCCTCCCTTGGCCACGGAGGAGCAGGGTCCTTACCTCACCTCCTGGCCGATGAGCTCCGTGGGCACTGGGCAAGGGGCAGGATGCAGCAATGGAAACAAACACAAGGTCAGAAACAAACCAGAGGTGCCCGACCCCCCAAGACTGAAGCTCTCCTGCCAGCAGCTGGGTTTCTATTTCCTCCCATTTGGAAAAGAAAGGGCCAATTTATCCTGTTATCCTTTGTTGCATGCCAGCTTGGAGCAAATTATAATCCTGCCTTGTAAATCCTCACTCCTGTGCTGATTTTCAGGCAGGTGAGTGCACACTGGCAGCATCAGGGACTGCCTCTGTTCTTTGAATCCGTGATGACTTTGAAGTCAATGGAACTGTTCTGACATGCATGAATGTAACTCAAGCCCTTCTAAATAAAGACTGAATTATCTAATGCCTTCATCTCTCTTTTTGCCCTTTAAAGCTGCTCATCAATTTCTTCTTTTACACTTCACAACTGTTTTCCTGCAGTGGCCACATTCACCTCTATAACACCAGCATCTTTCTCCTCTCCCTGTCCCATCAGACTGATGCCAATGCTCAGACATACAGTGGAGATTTGTTACTTGGGGTATAGGATAAACAAGAGTTTGTAGGATTTTTAGGGATTATTCCCCACTTGTCAATAAGAGGGCTTCTCACTGCTCACAACAAGAACACACAACAACCTCACATCGCAGCTGAAACCTTACATCCAGCCAGGAATCCAAATAATCAAGAGGAAAAAGAAAAAAAAAATCCCTCAGCACAAGTCTAAATTTGCCCAGGCTAAAAACCATAACACGTTTGCTCAATTTGTTTGAGCTAATTGGGTTTCCTGGGATCCAGCTCCCAGTGGGATGACTCACAAGCTTCAACAAACTGGAGGCAGTGACGAGTCCCAGGGTGCAGGCAATAAATTACCTTTTCACATCGAGAAACCCAGATTCAAGTGTGGAAAAGGCAGGGTGTGAGAAAATAAATAGAATCAGGGCGGTCTCATTTGCAACCTGAACGAGCACCTTTGTGTGTGTGCAACAAAGCAATGAAATCCAAATACTCGAGCTCAGCTCAACACAGCTGGCAACATCTGGGTTTGGTTTTGTTTTTAAAAGGTGCAGATGCTGTAAAGAGCAAGGAGAATGGAAGGTAAGGACAAAAGGAAGGTGGCCCAGCCCAGCTGTAGGATGAAGCTGCAGTCCCTGCAGCCATCACACCTTTCCAACCTTGTTGGTTCCTCACTTCCAGCCACCTTTGTCACTCGTCACGTCTACAGCCGCAAAAATGAGCCAACAAATAGAGAGGTTGGTCTGTAACCATCACCCATGGCTCTGGGACTACGTGAGGTGACACTCTGGGCTCTGTCAGAGCCTCTTGCCTTCTCCCAGAGAGAAAACATGCACAGAATTTCAGTTCTTTTTTTTTTTTTAATCCAGAAATAAATCACAATCAATCTCAATTAACCAGTTGTTTGTCCTCCCATCCCTGCCGGGGCATGGCCCATTTGCTTCTGCAGCATGAGCTACTTCTGCCAGGCACTCTCAGATGTGTGACTTCAAAGCCGCTGGCAGAATGAGCCTGATGAAAGCCCTGGGAGCTGATCTGAAGCTCCAGTGATTGCCATCCCCTACAGGAAAGCAGGCACGGGGGCTTTTTTCCCTTATTTGCTTGTTATTTTCCTTCAGCTGAGTGCAGTGGATGAGGGTTAAATACAATAAGGACCTATAAAGTTTTGTGGTTGGGACTTTTGCAGGTTTTTTTAGACAAATTTCAGTGGGGTTAGAGCAGGGGTAGTGACCAGTTAAGAGTTAAGCCTGGACTTGAAAAACCAAAGCCTTTTTGGAGCAATGGAAGCGCAGGGAGCTGAGCTCTGCACAGCCCAGGGCTCCCACTCACCTCGGACAGACTTGGATCGCGTGCGTGCTCTCTTATCATCATTTTCTAAACTCATCTGCAACAGAAAGAAAAAAAATCCTTACTGAGAGATAACCAGAAAATCAACATTGAAGGACAAGCTCGTGTGTGGTTGTGGCTTTGTGGGTGGCTGGGAAAGCTTTCCTATGTTTTTGAGATGGAGGCTTCTTACCTTAATGCTGTTGTTCAAGCCGCAGTGCCCAGATTTAGCAATTTTAAATTAATTTCCACATCCTGGGACACAGGAAGGACTTTGTCTGTTGAGTAGCACAGAGGAACAAACACCCAGATGTGCTGGCTGTGCATGAGATAGCCCTTGTTAAAAGCAGAGCTGATTTCTCTGGATTTACAGCACAGAGCTGCTGTGAGCACCTGGGTGGAATGCCAACACAGAATCAGAAATCTCTGAATATGTGTCTGAGCTGATCTCCTGCCTGAAAAAGGGCAATTTTTCACAAGTGCCCTAAAGAACAACCTCTTCTCTGTGCTTAAATTTGCCACAAAGATGACTGCATCTAAATAACTCACAACATGGACATCAAACACGAGGTCTGCAGGGAACACGGCCATGAATAAGTAACATCAGGGACTTCAAAGTTCTGGATATTAATTAAACATCACCACATGCCACAAGGTAGCAGAAGTCTGAAGCTCAGCCACCTCTGGGGCACAGCACCTTTGAAAGCAGGCAGTGCCTGGAGGTGGGAGCAGGAAAGCAGGGACCTCCATGGCATGGCTGGAATGATATAAATGGGATTTCATTAAAGTTGTCAGAGGAGCTGCTGAAGCGGTCAAAGAGCTGCTTTCTGTCTCACCCTTGACACAGATGCTCTCTCTGCAGGCAGGAGTGTTTGGCTGGAAATGCCAAGGGGGAATGGCAAGATCAGGGTGTGAGCAGGGCAGGGGTCAGAGCCTGCTAGGTTGGGAGGACAATTTGGGTTTTACTGCAGCATCACCATGTGGGACACTTCCTCCAGAGATTGCTAGGAGAGAGAAAAGGAGGTGAAAGAACCATTTAAAAGTGGGATTTGACATAATAAAATCCAGCTGTCTTTGGAATATCCTCTACAGGCCCAGTTAGAGAAGGAACAAACCAGCTCCTGTTTTCCAGCTCATTATTCCTAAATGAGGAAGTCCCATGGCTCCAGCACCCCTGACAGAGCAGGGACACCACCTCTGCTCTGTCTGGTCCTGGGGCAGGAAGGGACGTGCATGTAGAGCTTGTGCTGCTCCACTGGCAGTAGGGATGGTGCAGGTATGGTTTGTGCTGCTGAATCCCCACATGCACCCTAAAAACATCTTGGTGAATGCTGCTCCCAGTTCCCAGGGGCTCCTCACCCTCAAAGGAGACACTGCTTGGTGCTTTCCCTGAGGTTTGGGGGCAGCAAAGAGGGAAGGAGGCTGTTGGGGCAGGCAGAGAGAGGGGACCAAGGTTTCCAGCCCTTGGGGCATCACAGCTAAAAACCCCTCAGAGGAGGGATGAAGCTTTCCCCAGGCACATCTCTCCTTCACATTGCCACCTTCCAGAAATTCAATGTGAACATGCAATGATTTGTTAGATGGGGGAGTTGGAGAGGAAAAAAGAAAGAAAAAAAAAAGGGGGGGTGAGGGGAATCAAAACCTGGAGCAATTTATGCACCCTGTCAGCATTCAGCTCATGGCACGGCGGTGTTGTGCTCCGCGTTTATTACAATCTTCCCAATAACACAGCAGACAATTACTATAATTTGTATTTTTAAAGCCCCAGTTCCCTGTGGACCAATGGCTCTGGTTTAAAGAGTGGAGAGGAGCAGGTGTCACAGGGACTTCATTACATTTATGAGCCTTCCAACACCAGCGTGCGCTGAGCTCGCTCCCTAATGCCGCCGCACACCGCGGCACCTTGCACTGCTGGGAGCCTCCACCTACAGCAATGCCAGAGAGGGCTTTTTCTCTCTTTTTCCTCTCTTTTTTATTCCTTTTTGGACTATTCTTACAGGGAATTGGTATGTGTTGGGGCAGTGTGGGTTTGCTGCAGATCAAAGGGGCAGAGGAGGTCAGTCTGTGGGAAGGGTGACGGGCAGCGCCTGTGAAGGGCCAGGACCCACAGACAGCATGGAAAAGCAAAGCAAAATTTCATTTTTCTTAGCCAGACAGGTGGGACGGGCTCTAGCTGCTTATCTATAAATAGGAGAGATCCCATTTCAGGTCACATTTGTCTTTGGGAGTTGAATATCATGTGAGCTGGCATGCAGGCTCCTCACTACACCACAGCACCTCAGAGCAGTCCCTCCCATTGCCTCCCATTCCTCTTTGAAGGCAGGATCAAACACCCTGGGAAGGCAGCAGCAGATTCAGTCACCACATGGGCAAAGGGGACAGGAGCCACCTAAGGCAGGGACAGACCCACAGGGTCACAGAATTCTCAGGGCTGGAAGGGACATCTGGTGACCCAACCTTGCTTAGGACTAAAAAATGGAAAAGCCAAATAGGCTGCCTTGTTTGGCCTATTCTACAACAACAACAAAAAAAAAAAACAACAAAAAAACCCCAAAAAACCCAAAAAACAAAAAAAACAAAACCACCAAAACCCACCACCAACAACCCAAAACAACCCAACTCCAAATTTCCAGATTTTTGGGAATTTTCCCCATAGGGAACACCCCATTGCTTGTTTAGAGACCCTGACACAGCCCCACTGCTGTGTTTTTATAATGTTTCATTTATATCACTGTTGGGATGGGGTGTGCTCTATGCTCCCAGATTCTCTTTTCTACCATCAAGCTCCTTTTTTCAGCTTAAACCAACATCAGGATCATCCTCAGAAATCTTAATTTCCCTCCAAAGTGCAGAAACCCCAGGAATAAGATCCTTTATGGAGCTCAGCCCTTGCTCCTCCCAGGCAACCTAAACAACTGGCAGAGCCCTGACTGTGCTTCTGGAGCCTCTGTGATATCAGGCTCAGATGCAGGAAGGTTACATGAAACCATTGTCCTTTATTGCTGCCTTCTCAGCCAGAAGCCCTCTAGACAGATCGTTTTAATGTGAAATTTCAGGTCACACAGTGCATGTTTGCAGTCCTGGAGACCGGCAGGCTATTTTCATTAGCTCTCTCTCTTGTTCACATAACAGCCAGGCTGAAGAGCTGTCTGGATTTCAGTCTTATTGCTTTAACTCTGAATGAAAACAAAGCAGCCCAAAAGGAAACCTGCAAATAAATCATTGCTGCCAGATGCCAGTCACAAGCACATTAGTCTGGCTGGAAAAGACAGAGGTTTATTCCACACCTCCTCACCTTATGCATGGGTTATCTCTAAGATTAAACCAAAATCAGCATCCACCAAGTTTCCTAACCCAACACTACAGGAGAGGACCCTGTGCTGGGTCTCAGGGTGCTCCCTTCAGGATTCAGATCAGTGCTAGTCAGGGTAACCTTGGGAATGTGACTGCATCTCTATGTTCCTTTTCCCCCTCTTTTCTCTATAAAAGTAAGAAATGTCCCCTATCCTGTTTACCCTCACTAAGGAGCTCCCTGACATGAGCAGAATACAAGTTTTAATGGTAATTTGTCAATGCTGCAGACTTAAATCAATGATGTTCAGACAGATAAACTTGAAAAAGAGTTTAACCTGAGCACAATGTGAATTTTAACAGCCAGATTCTATAGCCCATGTCTTGTTCTGCTGCCAAGACAGGAATACAGCACGGATCTGAAGTTTCATTTTATGGAGTACCTACAGGGTTGACATTTTCTTCTTCCTTCTTGTCTTAATACACATTTCCTTTGCATTGGAAGCCCAAGGAACATAACAGAACACAAACCCACTGGGAGCCCAGCACGTGCTGATGCCCAGGTGTGCCTGGGCTTCGACAGCTCTATGCAAATCTGCCATTAAAGGCCCTGCTGAAATTCCCCCCGGTCAGCAGTAATACTTTATATGTATTCAAGAGCACCACGGAGCTCAGAGAAAATAAACATGCTGAAAAACCCTTCAGCTGGACAAAGGGAGGTGAGGATTCAGCAGGAATATTTATTTTACACTGAAAGCAGCAGAGCTTCCTTCGGTGCTCATTTGTGGATGTAGCAAAATGCCAATTGCAAGAAGCAGCATCTGAGCTTTAGAGGGACAGACAGACACACAGTGCCTCTATTTTTAGTTTTTAAAACCCCCCCAACTTATGTTTGCCTAGCAGCAGAAGGAAAATGCCAGAAGAAATGACATTTTTTCCTACAGAATTGTTGAAAAGGGGTTTTCTGCTTGGTTCTTCCCCTCTTGAAGATCCAAAGAGTCCCTTCTTTAGCTCCTCAAAGGAAAAGGCAGCAAAATTGCCCAACAGTGAGGATAGATTTGAATGGCCTATCCTGATTTCTCCTCCCTTGCTTCTTGTGAGGAATTCCTCCTTGGCTGTTGAAGGCTGAACACAGTTGGAGAGACCTGGATCTGGGTCTCTAAATTTCTCCTCTTTCCTCACCATAAAGTGCCATGGCATTTTTGTTCATTGCAGAAAATGAGGAGGACTTTGTCCTGCTGGACCTTCATTAGCCAGGAATTTTTAAAATAAATAAATAAATAAGGGGTGATGGAGGAAGAAATACTCTTGATCAACAGTGTGCCTCTACTTTTTAAAGAAGGCTCAGTAGTAGCTCTCAGCTGCTATTTTATAACCACACTGAGATTAGAGGGATTTTTTTTTCCCCTCTCCTTCCTTTAGGCTCTTCCTAGCTGCTTGACTTAAATCCTCCTGACGTTCCACCTATTGTGAGTCCTGTTCTCAGCTGAATAAGCTCCCGTCTGCCTTTTGCTCTGACTGCTTCCAGGAAAGGACACCCTGCACGGTGTTCCCGGCTCCGAGCCGGGAAGGGGGGAGGATTTTGCCTTGACATGTCGAGATGCAAACCCACAGCTTGTACCCACCTCGAATCTGACACTCCAGCTGTGTCACAAACATCCTCCTGAAGCCGTGCTGTCACTTTGCATTTGCAGAAAGGGTCCGGCCCCCCCCAGAATCACCCAGTGCTGCGAGTGAAGCGCTTCCCGAGCGCTGCCGCGATGGCAGCAGCATCCTCCACACTCGGGGGAAGCGGAGCAGAAAAGCTGCTCCTGAGCATCACATCTGACACAGGCGCAGCTGCACCGCTGCCTCCACGGCTCTGACAGCCCAGCATTAGGCTGGCTGATTGCAGGGGCCGTGGTTGGAGTTGACACACACCTTCCTCTCCACTCCTGGGAAGCGCTGCAGCGCGCAGTCCCAATGCCGGCGGGACCCGAGTGGCTCCGTACGTGCCGATGGCTCTCGTGCCAGAAGAGGAGGGGTAGGGAAGAGGGGGGGAAATAATTGTAGTTCTTCAATCTCATTGCTTCCCAGCTCTGTGATAAGCCAGCTGCCTTTTCCGTGAGATTATCCTTGGGTGGCACAATGTGGGGGGGATTGATGCGATCTCGGCGAAGGGGACAGTAGGGATGGGCTCTGGTGGGCCCCACCACCATCCGCCCTACCTGTCCTGACAGCAGTCAGCCCTCACCAACAACCCGCCTGCTACTCAGCTGCCTCCCAGCTAGATCCCAATGGCACAGGAAAATAGAGATTTGGGAGGCAAAAGTTCCTTTTTGCCACCAGACACCATGGTCCAGGACGAGCCCTGGCAGCAGTGTCTGGGCTCAGCTGGCTCCATGCAGAGATCAGCTCTCCCCAGCACTGCAGAGATCTCATTTCAAACCTGTCATGGGAAATTTTATCCCATGCCTGGACTTCTTTAGAGGCAAAAATAAATAAGTAAACGTGCCCCACATCCCATTGTCCTTCACCGCTGTGCATCCTGTGGATTACGAGCTGTGACTGGCATGAAAAACTACATTTAAATACAATATATATTTATGAGCACACAGAGAAGTGCAAGCATGTGCACACAATGCTGATCCAAAGGTTAGAGAGTGATCAGGACCTCTCCCCCTGTGAGATAAGAGGGCTGCACACTCACACAATATCCAGGCTCCCTTCAGACTCCCCCTCCCCATTTCCTCCTCTCACCCCTGAGCCAGGCACTCAGATAAAACACAGATAAGCAGAGCTGAGGATTGCAAGAAATGGTTAAATATTCGTGATGTGCTTGTTAGAGACAGAGCACCAGATGAGCTCCAGGTACTGGGAATGTTACCTTTTGTAATCATTACTTTATTAACATACGACAATCTTATTAAATCTAACCTAAGTGCTTATTTGGCAGGTTCAATAGAAAAGCCTTAATTGAGCTCATTTTAAATATAGCAACAACTGCTTACTCTGCTTTCTAAGAAGGTGTGAGCTTTCCTGGCGACACCTGCGTGCAGCTGACAGCTTGTTAGGGAAGAAGGATGTTTTTAAGTGTGGATTTTTGCTGGTTTGGAATTTTCCCAGGGTTTGGTTTATCTAGGGATACAGGAAGAGTTGGTAACATCAGTCACCTAAGGAAGCTTCCTCATCACCCAGGTGGGTCCATCGACTCACTGGAGACGGTGCCTGACTACTGAGAGGCCAAAATAGGACAGGAAGCACCATTTGTGCAGTGAACAGCCCAGTTCTCTGCTTAATTAAAACTTCCTAATCTGCTGGCAGTGAATCTGCCGGGAGGTTTGACAGCCTTGGCTGTACCTCTTTCATCAGCCACAGCTGCAGCAGTAAATGAGTGGCTGTGTTGAGCCCCGGGAGCTGTCCAGGGTCCCGGTGGGGGATGAATGACTCGCTTGTCCCCTCCAAAGGCACCACAGCTTCACCTGGTGTTCGAGGGGCTCCTTCCGACCAGCCGGCGCCTTGGAGAAAGAGCCTCTTTTAACAGGGCTGGGAGTGACCTAAATACCCAGATCTGAGCCACCCTTGAAGGATGGCACCGGGGAGGAAGGCAGGGATTTCAATATCTGGACTCCAAGCCAAACTTTGACAGCTGGAAGCCCTCCCTGCCCGGATTCACTGCACAGGAGGTTTGGCTGGAGCGAGGACGCAGAGATTTCCAAGTGCTGCCCATCACTCTGTGGGCACCGGAAAGGCTCCGTTCCCCCAGGAGCAGCTGGTCCAGAAGGAGCTGGAGCACATGTGGCCCTTGTCCCATGGCCAGCTCATGGGGTAGAGGGGTCACTGTCCTAAAAATGTCCTTGGTTGTGCGCCCACCTTGATGCGTGTGCCGTGCAGGCCGGCGGCTCCCTCGCAGCTGCTGATCTTCTCTCCACAGGTCCACCTCTGGCTCAGCAGCTCACCCCGAAACTCATTTTCTGGGGAGGGAAAGAGGAAAACAGGGTCAGGACCCAGAGTCAGCCCAGCCCCCCTCAGCAGCACCCACCAGAGGCAGAAATGCAGTGCTTATTCCCTGCCTGATTTCTTTAATGGCCATACAGATCCTGAGGGTCTCCATGCCCCCAGCAGGACCCCAGGGTGCTGTGCCAATGCTAAGAGCCCAAACCATAAAGAATTTCCACCCTCAGCCTACCCCAAACACTGCAGCTCTGCTCAGCTCGGTCCTCAGTTGGAAAACACACTGCTAGCAGTTGAAAATTAACATTGAAACATTGAGATAATTCAATTTTAGGGTGATGTACATCCAAAATCTTTCTTAGGATAGGTGGCTGTCAAAGTCCCCTTTATGTATTTGTCCTAAAACAGCTGTTCTGAAGCCAAGAGGGCAGCTGGGGAGGCTTCTCTAGGGATCACAGGAGAATCATTTGTGTTAGAGACCCCAAACCATGTTTAAAGCACTTTACTCTGGCCTGGACCTTCAGAAAAGGCTCAAGGCTTGCAGAAAAAAATCCAAGAGTTGCTGAACCATTATTCTGCTTTGGAGGAGCTCTGAGGAAAGGGAGTGGGGCGGCACAGATGGCCAAGCAGATGATGAAAACCAAAGAAAATGAGGGAAAGAAGCTAGAAATGGACAGAAGAAAGGAGAACAGAGGGGGAAAATATCAAATAAGAAGAAATAAAGATGTTTCAATAGCACATTCATAGGTCAGCACTGCTTGCCTGCTTATCTAAAGCATTTCCCTCAGCATCCTTCATCCATCTGCACATTTTAAAACAGGAGCATCCTCTATGGGATGCAGTAGGGGCAGGAGCAAAGGGAGGGTTAAACTGTACAAACAATGGATCCTGGATAACCTGAAAGATAGCTTAGAAGACTTTTGAAAGGATGAGATGTCATGAGACTCGACCACAAGGAGGAAAAATTAGCAGCACGTGCAGATTCATCCTCTCTGGGCCTGTTTTCTTGGGTGAATCCTGGAAGCTGCTGTGGCTAATCTGGCTCAAAGTGGCACCTTATCCTTGCCAAAGGCCCCATCCCGATGTCCCATGCCTTCATCCCTTTAAGCAAGAGGTAAGAAAGGACTGAGTACTGGGGCAAGGAGCCTTGGCCTGGATGAGGGTGTGTTGGCCACAGCAGCTCAGAGCTTCCATCCTGCTCCAGCCCCTCTGCCCAGCCCAGTTGGAATGGCCAAGGCAGCTCTGTCAACACTGGAATCAGATTTCCTCCATTCCATGCTGCTTAAATGCATCTGGTCTCCAGGGAGGATCAGCTTGCAGTGCTGGCTCTGCCCTTCCCACCTCCCTCTGGATCCTGGCTTCAGCAGAAACGAAGCTCTCTGGTTGTGTGAAGGACATGTCTGTTAACCCCTGCCTGGGCCACCCACGAGCAGCTGTGGGATAATGTTTTAAATATGTTTATCAGCCCATGGGAAGCAGATACCAGAGGGAATGGCACATTCTGGGGTCCCTCTGGCACTGAGGTTGGACAGTGATAGCTCAGAGCACGGAGCATGTGCATCCACACACCCTTGGAAAATTACTGAGATGCTCAGCTGGTCTGATGGATCAATCCCAAAGGAAACCAGCAGCTTTCCCCCATCACCTCCCTCCTCAGTGCCATCATCCAGGCAGGACTGGGGCACACACTGGAGTCTTAGGCTGCTTTTCCCCATCAAGGCAGTTCTGTCAACACTGGAATCAGTCTTAGGCTGCTTCCCCCCATTCATGAAAAGCCACCACCATGCTCTGCCAAATGAGGTTCTTCCCAAACCTTGAATCTATCTGTCCCCCTCTGGGATATCTACAGCTGTGCACCAAAGCATTGCAAGTTGTGTGGAATCCTGGTACAAAAGAACAAATTCCTTGAAATGCTTGAGTCACCTTCATCCAACCCCAAACAAGATAATGTGGAACCTTGGGAGGGAGACCACAGCAATTTGGAGTGTTAATCATGTGTGCTTTACTTCACATTTCCAAAGAGAGAAGAAAGCATTAATTTGGCAGGAAAAAAAATAATTTAACCCTCTAAAGAATCACAGAAAAGTCCCCCAAAAATAAACACAACAAACCTCATAGGAATCTTTGGGGTGAGGATGAATAGAAAATGAGGAGGGGGGTGCCTGGTGGCAGTCAGCTCTCACACATGTCCTCACAGTGCCAGGGGAGCCCCAGCTGCAGCTCCACCCCATCCCCAAATCTCTGCAGAGGTTACATCTGCTATAATAAAGTGATGGGTGAGGGGAAGGTTCTGTAGAGAAAACAGGGGGGGTGAAGGCTTCCTTTCCTTGTAAGATGCATCACTGCATATTCAAACTGAAAGACTAGAGGAAAAACATATCAATCTTCGTTTGTTCCTCCAAGAGCAAGAAAAGAAAAAGGAAGGGAGGAAAATTTTTCTTCATTTTTGTTCGGGCACATTTTTCACAGGGAAGGTGAATCCTGAGTTAAGGAGGCAGCAGCATTCTGGGAGCAGGCTGATCCTTCAGCATCCCACCAGACAATGTGGGCCCTCTCCTCAGGGCAGACACTGCAGCAGCGTCTGGGATCACAGGGAGAATTTTGTGGCCCCAAATTTTATGTGAATTTTAAAAAAAAATCTCAAAAACTAAATTTTGCACCTTCTCTAGTCTGGAGAAGGCACTCCTGGACTGCTGCACCCCTCTGCACCGCGGGCTGCCTGACACTCCTGCATTTTATACAAAACAGGAAGAACAATTTTTTACATGGCTAAATAGTGATGGGATAAGGAGCAAGAGCTTAAAACTAAACCAGAGATTTAGGTTCACTGTTAGGAAGAAGTTCTTCATTCAGAGGGTGGGAGGCCCTGGCACAGGCTGCCCAGAGGAGCTGTGGCTGCCCCTGGATCCCTGGCAGTAGTTTGGACAGGGCTTGGAGCAATCTGCAGTCATGGAAGGCGTCCCTGACTAGAGAGAACTGGAACAAGATGATCTTTAAGGTCCTAACCCAGCCCATTCTGTGTTCCTGTGATTTTGCAGTTTGTTGCCCACACACACAGCTCTGGAGAACACCAATAAGTGAATTTACTGCCCTGCACGGCCCCAAGCCCCTGGTGCAATGAGAGCTTTCCTGCTGGCAGGTAACACGAGCCTTACCTTTGATTTAAGGCCTCAGTCTCAGCTCCAAACTGCAGCACTGAACACCCTCACACAGCCCCAGGACTCAGCACAATTAATTGCCCCACGCTCCTGCCCAGCATTTACCAAGTACAAACCCCTCTGAACCAGCACCCCACGCACCTCAACCTTCCCACTTGCAGGAACAGCAGCTCTGCATCAGGGTGCTTTTTTCCAAAGGAAAGGAATTAAAACCTCTGTAGGAATCAAAATACACTGAACAAGTAGTACCCAGCTTCTCCAGCAATTCTCCATTCATCTCCAATGCCAGGAGGGTTGGTTTAGCCCCCTCTCAGGGCACAGGAATGCTGCCTATTCCAGGCAATTATCTCTGTTTACTGCAGCAGGGCTGTGTTCAGTGCTGCAAATTTAGCTTCCCAAACATGCATTTAATTTAAGATCTAATACCAGATGTTAATTGTATATTGCACAGTAAACGACTGATCATTAAAACATATTAATTGAGGTTTAACAGCTGTGTAATAGATATTACATCTCATACTTATCAGCAAATATGATTTAATAATTAGTTAAGATGGGATGTATGGATGGGAGATCTAGCATGGCTGGCTGGATTGTGGATTACTTTGTTCATTTGCTAAACTGGAGATAGTTTTCCTTATCACGTTTAGAGAGGATCTGGGCAATCACCAGGGACATCATCAAATGCTTTGGGTTGGAAAGGACAAAGTTCATCTCATTCCAACACCCTGCCATGGGCAGGGACACTTTCCACTTTCCCAGGTTGCTCCAAGCCCCATCCAACCTAACCTTGGACACTTTCAGGGATGGGGATGTTGAGCTTTGATACTCTCCCCTGCACGAAGTCTCAATGTGTTTGTAATCTCTATAAAAAGAAAAATGAAGGGGTCATGGGCAGTTTCCTCCTCAAAGCTGGGGCTGAGCTGTGGTGACCCAACCCTGTCACTGTGTTTGCTCAGCTCAGAGTTTGCTCATGAGCTCTCTGCCCCTCAGCCCTGCATCATTCCCAGCTGTGGCTCCTCTCAGGGCAGCACAGAGCCAGAGGGTGCCTTGCAGCACTACATGGCTGTCCAGAGACCCAACAACTCCCTGCACCAGTGAACTGCATTTGTGGTTCCACTGCCCCAGCACACACACAGTGCTGGCCCAGCCTACCCTGCCACCAAACCACATGCTGTGACGTCATGCAATCTGTGATGCACACTCTGACCTTTTATTTATTATAAGGAAGGGTTTGATTTCAGTAGGAACAAGCCTTTCTAGTGCTTTCCCTGCCAAGCAGCCCCCTGCAGCTTGTGCCTTGCTGACACACTGAGCCACTGGCTCAGCACCAGCACAGCTCCGAGGTGTTCAGTGCTGACAGCCAAGAACAGCCTGCTCAGCTCTGCGGGTCCTGGGGCACAGGACACAGGAAGGGAGCACCACACTGTGCCAAGGGAAAGGGGACAGGTCACCACCAGCACCCTGCTGCTGCTTCCCCATTTCCAGCCACTCTCCTTCCAGCCATTCCTGCAGCCCAGGGAGCATCCCCTGCCTGGCTCTCTCCTCCAGCACTGCCTGAAGCACAAGTGACTCACGTCCTCCTTCCCAGCCCCTGCCACCTCACCTCTGGGCTCATCCTGCTTCTGATGCTGGCAGCTGTGCCACCCCTGTGCTCACCTCAGCCCTGCCAGCTCATGCTTTGTCCTGTCATACCTGGCACCTTTGCATGCTCTTGAAATCTTTGTCAGGTCCTTGATGGGAACAGGGAATCAGGGAATCACCCCTTCCCCACAGCTCCAGGAGAGGACAGTGAGAAACTAGTTCAATCACAAAAAGATTCAGATTTCCCAAACACAAAAACATGTTGCAATGGGAAGAAG